GCTACTTTGCTGAATTCTTGATCAGCTCTAGTAGTTTTGGTGTGGACCTTTAAGGTTTTCTATATATAGTAACATGTCGTTGGCATATAGTGACACTTTCACCTCTTCTTTTCCAATTTGGATCCCTTTTATTTCTCTCTCTTGCCTGCTTGCTGTGGCCAGGACTTCCAAGACTATGTTGAATAGGAGTGGTGATAGTGGGCATCCTTGTCTTGTCTCAGATTTTAGTGGGAAGCTTTTGAGCATTCAAAAATCCACAAATGACAAATGCTGGAGAGGCTGTGGAGAAAAGGGAACCCTCCTACACTGCTGGTGGGAATGCAGTTTGGTGCAGCCACTGTGGAAAACGGTATGGAGATTCCTCAAAAGACTAGGAATAGACTTACCATATGACCCAGGAATCCCGCTCCTGGGCTTACATCCAGAAGGAAAACTACTTCAAAATGACACCTGCACCCCAATGTTCATAGCAGCACTATTTACAATAGCCAAGACATGGAAACAGCCTAAATGTCCATCAACAGGTGACTGGATAAAGAAGAGGTGATATATTTATACAATGGAATACTATTCAGCCATAAAAACCAACAACGCCATTTGCAGCAACATGGATGCTCCTGGAGAATGTCATTCTAAGTGAAGTAAGCCAGAAACAGAAAGAAAAATACCATATGAGATCACTCATTTGTGGAATCTAAAAAAGAAAAAAAGAACATAAATACAAAACAGAAACAGACTCATAGACATAGAATACAAACTTGTGGTTACCAAGGGAGTGGGGGGTGGGAAGGGATAGACTGGGATTTCAAAATGTAGAATAGATAAGCAAGATTATACTGTATAGCACAGGGAAATATACACAAGATCTTGTGGTGGCTCACAGAGAAAAAAATGTGACAATGAATTATATATATATATATGTTCATGTATAACTGAAAAATTGTGCTCTACACTGAAATTTGACACAGCATTGTAAAATGATTATAGATCAATAAAAAATGTTAAAAAAAAAAAGAAAGAAAGCAACGGATGCAGTAATAACAACCACAACAAAAAGCAAACATTCCCGTGTCAGGGTCCGGCTTGCTGCGGTGTAAACCCCGCCCCTCTAGCTCTTGACACCCTCAGTCTGCCCCTCCCCAAAGGCCTGGTTGGAGTGGTCTCAGGCCTTCTGGAAAGGACCCGAGTTCCGTGCCAGACTAACAACAGCGCAGCAGTGGGTGGCACTAGGGACAGGGAAACAATTTGTGGTCTGACTTAAATCAAGAGAAGGCAGATCGGAGAGCCAGAAATAACCAAGAGAAACCAAGCCCAGACAAACTCAGAGAGATCGCAGAGGGACAGAGCCAGAAATCCAAAGAAAGCATATACAGGGGATGGGCTACTAGAGGACCCCAGCTGATACCGGAGTTACATCAAACGTGTACACTTCATGCTCTCGCTATATTTTCAAACCGTGCTCCTCTGGCCCTGGGTATCCTAGAGGAGGCTCAGAGACCACCACCAGGGACAAAGGCTCTACTTCTTTGGAAAATGTATCTCTTTTATTTATTTTATGTAACTTTTACATATTTGGTCTCATCTGAAAAGGGGGGGGTCTGTTGCTAAAAAAGGACTTTAAAATCACATTGTACTATGTGATCAGGCATCAACAAAGAGCTTTCAGCAGGGAGGTGCCAGTGTCTGATTTGTTCTCTGGGTCCCTTCTGGGCACCTTGCAAACAACCCACTGGAAGAAAGGAGAGACCAGCGAACCAAAGGATGTCAGCTGAGGTCCAGCATCTACACCAGGGGTCGGAAAACTCTGCCCCCTGGGTCAGATCCACCCACCACCGGTTTTGGTAAATAAAGTTTTACTGGCACATACCCAACCATTGTTCATTTACATGTTTTCTACGGCTGCTTTCTGCTGCAACAGCATGACTGCGTAATTGCAACAAAGACCACATGCTTCATAAAGCCTAAAATGCACGCTGTCTGGCCTTTCACTGGAAAGGTCTATCTGTTCTGGTCTATACCCTCCCTTGAACTTATGAACAGTAAGCCCTACCTAACACCCCACAGGAGGTCAAGACTCAAATACAGAAGGGGTAAAGGGGCGCTCAGGGGTAGGTGGGGCCTTCAGGGGCTGATTCTGCCAACTGAGCCCATGGCTCCACGGTCAGAGGCAGGACCAGGGGCTGACCCAGTGGGCCAAGGTTCACACTAAAGAGAAACACAGCAGATTTATCGAATATAAACTTTGGATAAACAGGAGGTGAAGTACTCTCGAGCTCCTGTATAATTCAAAGCAAGGGTCTTCAAAGTGACTCCGCCTTAGGAAGAGCTTGAAAGAAACAAGAGGGAACTGACCAGACCTGGGGCTGACACACACCTCAGTGCTCCCCAGCCCGCCACTGTCAGATGAGCCAGGAAGTGGCAAGTCACGTAACAAGTCACCATTAAAAAATAAAACGACTCTTCCCCAATCGCCAACACTTCCGACAGCCGTGGCTTTCCCCAGTGATAAACGACACTGAATGCCTAGCTGGGGCCCTCACAGGATCTCCTCTCATCTGACAAATACTCAAATGTCACCACCTTCCGCTTCAGTACAAAGGTGAGATGGCACATTACTGCTGACACCAGGAAGTCTTGCTGTGTTTAAGATGCTTCGCAGAGCTTGGCTTACCTTGAGAAAAGTTGTTCGCCAGGCCCGACATCTTCTCGGTCTCACCGTCTTGCTTCTGGTCTCGCGAGAAGGAGGACTTCTCAGACATGTCACAGTCGGACGGCGCACGAGTGGCTGAGGGCGCAGGAGACTCGGGGAGAATGTGCTGGTAGCTTAAGCTGTCTTCCTCAATCCTTGACAGTTGGGATTGAAAGAGAAACCGTTTCCCACTCTGAGATCTCAAGCCAGGGCCATGGCTTGAGAAGACTTAGGGGTACTGGCTCTTTGTGATTCACCCGTGTTTGCAACTTCATTTTGGTGCCCTCCCTAGAGCATTTTTTTAAGCAAGGACATTCTAAAGACAACCCAAAAAGGCTCGGTGGGCTTGAATTTGGAGCCAGTGAAGAAGGGGGAGCCACCATCTGGCTTGTAGAGGAGGGACCTCAAGAGAGGGCCCGAGTCAATGGCAGCTGCTTATCAAATGGCCGCTCGGTACCAGGCGTTTCACTTGTACCGTCTTCCTTGGTCCTCACAGAAACCTCGGAGGCAGGGAGGACCATCCTCATTAGAGCCGGCAGTGGCGGGGGCGGGGGGGGGCGGGTGCTGAGGTGCATCATAACCTTGCACACCGTCTCACAGCTTCTAAGTGGCAGAGCCCACATCTGAATCCAGTCTGTCTGGCTCCAAGGCCCCAGGAGAATGTGGGAGGCCAACCCAAACCCATGAAGTGGGTTTAAAATGGGTTTAAGAATCTCAGAGCCCTTGTGGTCCCCGAGCAAGCCCCGACATCACCACTCAGGCAGTCATCCGGTTATGAACCTGTATTTCCCAAGGGCCACCTAAGCCAGGAGGAAAAACACCCTGAACTCCGTGAAAAGCCCACATGAATCTCCATTATAGACAAGCTCCTTAAATTAAGCTCTTTTTTTTCTCCCACTTTTTCCTATTACTTCTTGTCTCATTATTCATGAGCTCTGACAAGAGCAAAGGACTCCAAAGCTGCAACGCGTTCATTAACAGGTAAACACCAGATGCATCTTTGCTCAGACAGCGTGATGGATGCCCGGGCTCGCTGCCGCCCCGCCAAAGAGCATAAGGGGCCAAGGGCACCCATCTAATTAGCTTAGGAGTGACCCATGTGAGTGTTACGCCTCCAGCTGAGAACAGTAGAACAGAAGGAAAAGAAACAAACCTGTCAGAAAAGGGAGGGTGACACACGGCTGAGGAGGCTAAAAGAGGCTCCCGCCTCCTTCCAGCCCACTCTCCGAGCCTCCGCGCTCATCTTTCAAAATGGTACATCTGGTCATGTCCAGCCCCAGCTTACTCTCTCTCAAAGACTCCCCTCTTTCCAGAGATCAGAATTTGGACTCAATACAGTTTCTGAGGACCAGCGCAACCTGGCCCTGCCAGTCTCTCCAGCCTCACATGTTGAGCACCGGCCACGCTGCTCCAAGGGGCCACATCTCCCTCACCTGGAGCCCGGACACTCTTTCGACAAGCCCCGCCCCCGGGGCCTCACCCTTCCGAACTCAGAGAGGACTGTCTCCGCGCTGGGAGGCCCCTAGTGCCCTCTCTGCAGCCTGCCAGTGGGACAGGACCCCCGCTATTATCAGGATGGAGGTGGAGGGCTGAACTGGGAGGGATCTTGGAGAAAACTGCAGGGAAGGAGTATTTCTCCAAACTTCCAGAAGCCCGGATTGAAATGTCTCCCAGTCAGCTGTCATACCTCCCTCCTGCTCACTCTAATGACGCTGGTGGCCTTCACGATGCCAATAAAATCTAAATTTCTGCATCCCAGACTAGGCTCTGTTTCTTTATTTTGCCCCCAGGAGCCCAAAGGGTCGCAGCTTCAAAAACGAGGGAAACACCAATAGCACGAACAACAGTCGGGACCTTTAACAAGTCGACAGAGGAGGGCAGGACCCGGACGTTTCCAGTCGGCCACAGAAGCAAGCTAAGAGTGTTTACAATCCATGTATTCCATGAACGTTTTTAAAATTCCAACTACATGCCAGACAGCTGGGGCTGGAGCAGGTGTATAGAAAACCAAGGCTCAGTCCTTGCCCTCAGAAGGCAACGCGGAGTAATAATAAGAGCCCAGGTGCCGGAGAACAAGAGATTCAAGTTCAAATACCAGCTCTGCCTCTTAAAGGCAAGTATGTAACTCTGATCCTCCCGCTCCTCATCCTAAACTGGGAACAATAACGCTCACTTTCTAGGGTCAGAAATAATGAATGGGAATGCCTCGGGCAGCCGCTGGCACACTCCAACACCCAGTTAATGCTGTCTCCTTACCTCTTTCAAGGAACTCTGAGTGTGGAAAGATAAATGCAGAAAATAGTATAGGACCATGTGGTAAGTGCTGTAATGTAACTGTGTGCCAAGTCACAGGAAGTGCCTGACTCCGGGGCGTAGTGGAGAGATGGGAGTGTCGGGGAGACCAAGGGTCATTTCCATGTGAACTGACTCTGGAGGAGGGTCCTCAAGTCCCCAGAGGACGAAGGCAGAGCGTACAGCCTGCATACAGGCATGGTCTGGAGAACCATCGGAAGTCAAGTGAGACTGAAGCATGGGGCACATGATGGAAAGGAAAGACGGATCAGGCTTAGGAGTCTGGAATTCATCCCGCAGGGACCCAGGAGCCAACAAAAGGAATGTGTTGTCTGCATCCAATCCCCCAGCAGAGAAATGCCAGGAGCAACCGAATGCAACCAAACAAGGGCTACAGGACACACGGCGTGCAATCCCGGTTTCCAGTGACCACTGTCAGCTTCATAGGTGTTTATGCTTTATTTACAAGATGCAGGAAACTAACAGAACAGGAGGGAGCCTGGATGCTCAAACAGCTGGCGGACAAACCTAACCCATGACGTCTTCTCACCAGATGCTACACACTCACCTCTCTCTCAGTTCCTTCTGCGTGTTCATTTCCGCTTCAACTGATTTTCCTGGAAGTAGAAATAACATCAAGAGAGAGAACATTAAAGAAAGAAAGAAAGAAAGAGTGCTCCCTAATAATTTCTTGCTCACACATTTGCAAAGGCACTCTTCCATTTGTCTAAACACTCTTTATGACAGTCTCGGATATTTAAAAGAGGATTACCATGAATATCGCTCAGACCACAGATCCCGCCTCTAGCACTGCTCTGGCACTGGTTCCAGGAGGGAGGGGACAGCACTAAATGCAAGAAGCAATCACAAAGGCACTCCCGGGCGCAGGCTGTCCCTCCTTCTCTAAAACGCTGATGCAACCGAATACAGGCTCGTTCCAGGAGATGGGCACCAGAATCAAGAAAAAGAAGCCCTCTCTCCTCCAGTACCCACCACAGACGTGCAACTGGCTTCCCTTCCGTTCTTTCTTCTGTGCGTCTTGGCCTGGGGGATACTGAATTGGGACTTAATTTCTCATTTTGTACTTGATTACGAGCCTTTCTCTTACCGAATTTGCTTTAGAGACGCCCCGTTTAATGACTACATGACTATCCCTCGGAGGCGGACGTGCAGCTGCCGTCTGGGTCATCTCCAATTTTTCACTTTTGTAAAATAAACATCTTGGTGCATACATCTTTATCTGCACTTAAATTATTTCCTTCGGAAAGTCTCTCAGAAGTGGGATTCCAAGGGAAAGTGGGCTGGGGGTGTGGCTGAAGAAACCAGTGTGTGCGGCAGGGGGAACAACCAAAGAAAACAGAATAAGGCTGAGAGCGTAGCTGGGAAAGCCGCTCTGCTCCCACTGCGTGTCATCAGGTGCTGTCTGAAGGGAGCACATGCGCCCAGATTTCAAAGAGACGAACAACCTTATTTTAAATATACTTTAGAACTCTGGAAATTGCAGACTGGGATGAGCTCTTTGAAGAAACAAATGCGTGGCTAAAGGAAAAAAACAAACCTCCTATAGCTGTACTGGAAAAATGAGACTATAATTAAACTGCACCCACACACACCATTTTCAAAACTACTCCTAAAAGGAAAAGTTCTCAAACACCACAGCACGGAGGAAAAGATCATGGGAGACACGCACATTTGCTTCGTGTCTCGTGGTTCCCACCTACAGACTCCCAAGGCCAGCTGGGGGGCTGTCACGGCCCCCGCTCCACCCAGCAGGCCGGCCACTGGGCGCCCAGAGTTGGTCAGCGTGCCAAGCGCTGGACGGTCACTGGGAATGAGTCGGGCAGCCCTGAGCACCAGGTGCCAGGCCCCGAGGCCGGCCCCTTCACAGCCACTGTCTCCTTCAGGCCTCGCAACAACCCTCCCCTGCAGGCACATCGTCAGGACCTCCATTTTAAGGCAAAGACGCGGAAGTCCGGGAGGCCTGACGCTTCCGTTCTCTCACTCTGCCCAGTTCACCTCTCACCTACTTTACTGCACGCTCAGTTAAGCGAGGGAGATGGAGATACTCTCACAGCTAGCCCACCCACAAATCTACGTCTCCATCCCCTCGGGTCCTCCTGACCCAAACTGGCATGATATATTGGCTCCCGGAGAGGTAGGGAGAGGTTGACAGGCCTCCACCTCAGGGGATGCTCTCCAGGGCTCCACCTCTTGGTTCTCCACGTCCCTCCTCAGGGGGGAATCTGCATCTGATACACCTGATTGGTCAGATGCCAAGACCTTGACTGGAAGTCCCAGCTACAAGGCCACCACGGACGGGCAGGGACAGCTGTACCTCAAAAGAGCTCAGTCGGCATCTTCCTTCTCGCACCTGCGCAGGGCTGCCTGCCAACATTCAGTCCATGATACGATTTGGGCCCTTTCGACCTGGAGGATGGGCCACCTGTCCCGCCGAGCCTTCCAAGGAGCTCAGGTTCCACATGCACCAGCCAGGCAAACAACGATGCATTTACCAGGGTTCTCTGGACACACGTGTGCCCCAGGAACGTCACAGGGCCGGGGACACCTGGTCCAGGGCAGGCTTGCTTCAAGCATGCTGGGTCACCTAAGCATAAACTCATCTTAAAACCATCAAAAGACTCAATTCCTAGCAAATTCCATGACCACAGAAGGAATCCATGACCCTGATGCCACCGGCCACCTTGGGTTCCCCTTCTTTGAATCAGAGATCCTCTGGGGCGCTTGTAATGACTCAACAGTTGCATTCCACTCATTTCCTGTGCAGCAGGGAGTTCTTTAAAACCAGGCGACGCACTGTTATTGTGGGTCAATAGGGAGCTCGGTACAACTGATGCACGCAATTTCTTGGTGGAAACTGCCTTCACACAGGTGACGGGGACCGTCTGTCAGGCTATTCCAAAAGCTTAGGGAGCACGTCGAGGACACACTGCTCCCATCTCTCAGGCAAATCTTACCACCACACCTAAAAAGCCATGGAATATGGGGCAGAGCGGGGCTGGGAAAGGCCTTCATCTTTTCAAATAAGCCAGCATGTGTCACAGGCATCCAGCACAGATCCGAACAAGTCAGAGAGTCGTGACACAGGACACACCTGTAACTGGTGGACCCATCTTCAGTCTCCTCTGCACTGGCCCATCTGTACGCGGCCACCACATAAGAAGCCTCTTTTGAAACGGCACTCCCTAGCTCAAAACCCATCAATCGTACAAAATTAAGTTCACAGAGCAGAGCCTGGCACCTCCCCCATGACCTACGCGTTTCTTCCTTTCCGTCTCACTGGTAATTCGCAGTAAACATCTACAGTCCTCCTCCCAGGTGCCTGTGCCGACCCTGAGGACACAGAATGAACGAGGGACCCGCCCTCAATGAGGTCACAGCTGAGTGGGGAGATGGCGGGTCCAAAAGACAGTCACAGGACAGCGCTGTGACGAGCAGCAGCCGGGACACGGTGGGAGGACACACGGAGGAAACAGGCAGGATCCAGCCTGGACCGTCAGGGAGTCCTCGCGATGTGACAGCCGACCTAGATCTCTGAGGCAGGAAAGGACTGCTTTAGGAAGGCGGAGGGAGCCAAGGGGCTGTGTGGAGGGCAGATTCCAGGCGGACTTGAGAGAAAGTCTCCCCTTCGATCAGACAGCCTGCTTCACTAAGCCAGCCACGGCTTGCCCACCCCATCACCACTCCTACAGGACCCTCCCCCCAACTACGGGTCCTTCCAACATGGAAGCCTGAGCCCCGATGTCCCTTCCTCCGGGCAGCCTCCCCTTCAGAGTTCACAGGCGCCTCCCTCCAAGCTCAACTCTGCGTGCCAGACAGGGTCAGAGGACGTTCCATCCAAGAGCACCCAGGATAAGGTCCACACCACACAAATTCTCAGTACTGTCATCACAGCATCACTGGGCACCACACGTCTAACTCTGCCCGGGCTGGGGGGCCAGGACAAGGCTCCCGCCTTCCAGGAGCTTCTGCTCTGAAGAAGTAAAATATGCCCACAAGAAATCTCTGCTGTCACCTCCCGAGCTCCCACTACTGGCCAGGAGGGACACAAGGCGCTTTAAATAACCTCATTTAATCCTCACCGACAATGCTGCTGGACAGGTGCTACGACCTCACAGAGGAAATCTGACCCTTCACTGCAAAGCAGGGATCTGAACTCGTCTATCTGGCTCCAAAGGTTCTGTTCTGTCCACCCCAGCACGTGGCCTCCACCACAGGGCCAGATGTGATGCCATATGCAAGCCATAAACAGCCCGGGAATAAAGAAAACGAATGGATTTGCTTTTTCTTGGAAGCTTCCTGGAGGATGGGCAAAATGTCTAGAAGTGGAGAGGGAGCCTTCTAGAACAGGGTCGCAGAAGTGGGGAAACCTGAGGCCAGGCCCATGGAAACCTTCAACCAGGACACCCAATCTGACAGGAGTGTACAGGGCACAGCATCACAGGGGTAAGGAAGTTAGGCTGTGGAATCAAGCTGCCTTGGCTCAAATCCGGACTCAGCCACTTCCTGTGTGACCTTGAACAAGTAAGTTAACCTCTCTGTTCCTCATTATTAAATGAGGATATTAAATAGTACCTCCTCATAGGCTGAGAACAATGCCTGACACAGTAAGCAATCAGTGAAGACCAGCCTTCCTCATCATTTCTCCTTCATCATCGTCATCATTACTATTCTTCAGAGGTTAGAAGGCAGGGAAAGGCGGACTGTGGAAGCCCTGAAAAAAACCAGATGCTTCCCCTTCATCCCTGGAGGCAAAGGAGCTGGGAGGGAAGGGATCCCAGCAGCATCTCTATTCACATGGCTAAACCCTGACACACGTGGTGAGCTCCCTGAGGACGGGGACTATCTCACAACCTTCTTCCTCAATGTCTACTCAAAAATACCTGAAGCAAAACACTGCCCTCCTGATTGTATGCTACTGGTCTCAGGAGGTACCACGGACCAGGATATGGTGGAACGCCTGGGACGCCAACTCAGTCCTCGCTCCACTTGGGGTCTCAACCTGCTTTGACAATCACAGAGTTACAGACCCTCACTCCAGAAAAATGCCCACACTCACAACACCTTGCAGGGTCCCAGGCCCCTAGTGAAATCCCTTGCCTATGGAGCTAGGCAAGAATCCCGGCTCTAATGCTCACAAGCATAAAGACACCACACTCTCATCCTATTTCTTGGGTTCTATCAATTAAATGTCACTAAAGAAACCACAAGGATATGCACAAAGATTCCAATTTGGTGTTCTTTACAATAGCTCCAAACTGGAAACAACTTAAATGTCCATCTAATGGAAAATGACTAAATAACTTATAGCACATTCACACAAAAGAATGCTCTGCGGCCACTGAAACCTGCAATGTAGATGAACATTTATTACCTATAATTGAACAAAGGGAGAGGTTGCATATTACCCTACTTCCACCAAGAATACACATACGTACAAAAAGGGGCTGGAAAGTATAAACTCCAGGGTGTTGGTGGTTTGCTGTATAAATGATGCAATGACAGGAGTATTCGCTTATCTTGTTATTCCACAATAAACGTGTGCTGCTTTGTATTCATAAAAAAAAGCTGTATTTAAATTTTTAAAGAACTCACACTATGCAACTACCTCAAATACAAAACTACATTATAATAAGCTCATTTCATAATGCAAGAGCCAGGCTGTAATTCAAGAGATGGCATCCCAGAAAGACCCACCTCTGCTATATTTTATTCTCTAAGGAAAAAAGAGCTTCTCTAGTGAGGTTCTTGAGACTTATGCCCTTTTGTAGAAGAAAATTAAGGTCTGTGTTTGTGTTGTCTGCTAAGCCCAAAACGCTTCTGCTTCTAGAACCCAAAGGAAACAAGAAGTGAGATCTCTTTGGGCTTGTTGAGGTAAACAACTGAAAAATAAATAAGGCTGGGGAGGGGGGTTGTAGTTGATGAAGAAGGGAGGGCGCCTGGTGCCAGAAGCAGCCCCTTTCAGCCTCCCACCTGAAGGTTGAGAGCCTCTCGGAAGAAAAGAGACGAATGGGAGATGCCTCGGGCCGGGAAGACACAGCTCTACCCCAAGGGCTCACTTATTCCTTCAACAGGAAAATGAAAACGAGCTTCTCTGGGAAACCTTAGCCAGAAGAAAGTGGATTTCACAAAGCTGTTAAAAGTCCAGCGCTCCTGTGTCCCGGCCTTCAGAGGTTCTGGAAACCGGTGCTAGGAAAATCAGTCTGCACCGCACCTAAGCTGCTGGGCCCTTTTTAAAAAAAGAGCTTCCCTGGGCCCAGCGAGCCAAACTACCCCACGCTTTATCCTGGCACCACGCTGAATGCACGTGGACCCTCGTGAACCACCTGTGTGTAGGTCTGAAGACACAAAAACTGAGGTCAAGTCCTGGTCCAAGTCATTGTGACTTTGAGCAACTGACCTTGCTCTGTGAAGGTCAAGTTCCTCATGTGAAATAAGTTGCCCTGAGGATGAAGCCCCCGGCTCACAACTAGTAGGATAACGAGTCAGCGCTCAGAACTTCAGGGCGATGCACGGAGTACTGTGCCAAGGCCTCACGTCCGTGATTTAACTCGACCCTTACGGCTCACAGAGGAAAGCCTTTGATTTTGAGCAGAGAAACGTTATGACCTGGCACATTCTGTAAAGATCACGCTGGCCACAGTGGAAACGGACCGCTGTGGGACAGGGTGGAAGCGCGGAGGCCGAGGAGGAAAGGCCTGTGACCATCTGAGATGTGAAGGCTGGCGCTGTGGCAGCAGCAAGGTGCCTCAAACTGCTCAGATTTGGGATATCATGAGCCGAAGGGAGGGCTTCAAAGGGGCAGCCAGTGGGGTGGGTGGGAGAACGGACTCTGAGTGATGTCCTCTTAGAAGCCAAGGCAGGAAGGGATTTCCCCAAGAGGGAGGGACCAACCACATCCCCTGTCACAGGGTTAGGAAAGATGACTAACAATGTGTGTGTAAGTGTAACTATGTAACTATCTATCTATCTATCGAGAGAGGGACAAGGACAAAGCAAACATGGCAAAACGGATGAAGGTGGATGAAGGGTGCAAGGGAACTCTTTCTTGTCATCTCAAAATGTTGCAAATTATATTTTTAATTGTAACGCAATCACATCTTTTAAGTATGTAGCACATAAGGGCAAACGTTTACCAAAGGTTTTCTTTCATCCTTCCTCCGGTCACCTCTGACCCTTGAATATATTTTTTAACCAAAGTCTGGGATTTTTGTTTGCATGTTTTGTTCACTGTTGCCAACATTTAAAACCCATGAACCAACATTTTCGCCCCCAAAACCCTGGCTTCCCTCTTCTCTTGAAAATTGGGAGGACCCAGCGACCACGTGGTGGTGCCAAGGGGCCGCACCTCCTGGCTGGCTTCACCTGTGTGTCTCATCCACCTGGTCCCTGGGGCATCTCCACTGGACCCCAGGCTTGGGACAATGCAGACCACCGACCCCACGTGGACGCAGTCACCATAAGGAAGCAGCCGCCCATGTGGCTCTGCCGTCCCCTTGTCAGAGCAGAGGGGCGGAAGGTAGGCAAAGCCAAGGAGTCGGTTCCTCCCGGGCCCCTCCAGGGAGTCCTGGATCAATTCCTGACGTGTCTTAGGACTTGCAGCCCCTCGTCCGCTTACCCTTGAGAAACAGCTTCTCCAATTGCTCGAGCAGCTCAGCACACTGATTCAGCTGCTCCTGGAAACCCTCGGCCACGCAGTGATCCACGTCGCTGGCCTGCAGCAGCTCCGCGAACGCCCGAATCATGGTGTTCATGTGTTGACGGTAAACAACACAGATACCGTGGCTGTCCTTAATCTGCTGTCGCTGAAGGGAGAGTTCCCTGGCCTGGGCCTGAAGTAATGAATCGTATCTGATAAAAGGGGGGAGAGAAAATTCTTGGACCATTTTAGAATTGAATTTTTGTGACCTTAACACTAATTGGGAAAATGACAGTGCACAACTCTTGAAGGGCCCGCAGCTGTACAAGTACATCTACTTTTAGAAAAATTGGAACTGTACAAGGTCACCCCTGCTTCAATTTCAAAACAGCCAACAAATGCTGGCGCAAAGGTTCTTCTGCAATATTTTTAACCTTAGGAAGCCCCCAATTAAAGTACAGGTTGGCGAGGACTCGGGAGAACAATTAGTTTCCGTACACTCTCCAAAAACACTATTCCGAACTGTAGCAGCGAGTGCTTAGAGGGTCAGGGGATCCACCACAAATCCCCATGAAGAACAAAAAAGAGACTCAAAGGCAGGAAACCAGAAGCAGGACTCTCTCCTCTCAGCTGAAAGGTCAGAGAATCATCATAATCCTAAGTACCATTTACCGAGGGTCTAGGAGCCACCAGCCACTGAATTAGGTGTTTTTTATAAGTTATCTGTTCCTCTCCGTCTCCAGCAAAGGTATGAACATCCCTGTTTACAGAAGAGAAAACTGACTCTTGGAGATGGCAAAGTTGGTTCAGTGATGAAGTTTGCTGACTCAAACACAGCTCTGCCTTCAAAACCCAACTCTATTTATACCATGCCACCTCCTGACACCGCATCCAACTTTTCCTTTGTGAGCCCACAGTTTTAGTAGGGACTGAGAAAAACCCAAGTTCAGGCAAGCATGGCTCTGTTTTCCTTACCACCTGTGGCCGTGGGAGGCCGGCCAGAGTGGCTTGGCAGAGACCCTGACCCTGCAGTTAACCCTTTAGTACACAATCCCTGGGACAAACATGTTCCCTGAAATGATGACAGTGTGTGGGGCTGGTGACCACCTTCGACCCCAAGTAACACAGAGAGATCCTGTGACAGCAGCCCTGCAGGCGGGCCCGGTTCACGGATGGGAAGGGGCCGGAGCATCAGCATCAGTGTGGGATAACGTGGGCCAGACCAGCCGGCTCTGCCAGTCCTCCCGGGCCACCTTCTCAGTCACGGCAGCCGCTCTGAGGCTCCATTTCCTCATCTACAAACGCATGTTCAAGAACACCTCCTTCTCGGGTGACTGTGAGGATTAAGTAAGAAAAGTGCCTAACCGGGGGTCTGACACAACTGCCTCCCTGTAAATACACGCTGTCTGCAGGGTCTTAAAAAAATGCACTCTGGCTCCTGACAGTTGAGAACAGTGTGCCTGTCTCAAATCAGTGACGAACGAAGGTCAAGTTTACAAATGATCCCACGTCTGTCACATCTCACGAGGCCAAACTGTATGCATGTATGCCCATAAAACATGTCTTCGTGACCTAAGAATTCTTCTCTTTCAACACACGCTTATTTCTCTAAGATGACCTTACAGGGTAAAGATATGGGAAATATTTATTTCCTCCCACCCTGACTAGGACATCAGTTTCAGCTCCCCTGCAGCACAGTAAAAGCCAGTAACAGGGTCAGGAGTAAACACTGCCATTTGGCAGCCGTATTATAACTCACCGAGTGACTGGTATAAAACCTTTATCCTGAGTCCCCAACTTCAGAAGGGCAAAACCTACTTGGCCAATTTCAGAAGACCCAAGACTGGTATGTGTGCAGCCACTGTTCGTGGTGGCCTCACCTGTCACCTCTCTGCAGGGCCCGCTGCCTTAACCACGTCACCAAGCCTCGGCCAGTACACACCTGACCCCATGGTGAAGCTGCATTCCCTTTTAGCTTATGGGCGCCAACCTACTGGCAACTGGGGGGAACTGCAGGCTTAAGCAGTGGGAGAAGGCAGAGCTGGGATGTACCTTGAGGGTGAGAGATCTCTGAACTTATTCTGCAGGTTATGGATTTCACTGAAGAGTTCCATGTTCAGATTCTGCTCCCTCTGCAGCTCACACTCCTGGTCCACTAGCCGCTGTCTGAGACTCTCCAGCGTCTTGCAGTCCATCACCTCTGGGGCCAGCGGATGGAGGATTTTCATGTGTTTCACATAGCGTACTTGGTGCAAACTTGAAAAGGTCCTTTCTTCTTCGTCACTGGTACCCCTGTCCTTGTTCAAGCCATCCTGGGCCCCTTCTGTCCCACACAAAACTGTGATAACAGCCTCGCTGAACTGGGAGTGCTTTTGAAGCTGCAATATGAAATTCCGGTAGCCCTCAAGCTCAGTTTCCAAGTCACAGATCTTCCGTCTTAAGTTTTCTTTATCATTTGAGGCATCCATGTTCTCCAAGGGATCGGTCCCAATCACACTGACGTTAGTGGAAAACTGACTCTTAGAACTCAAGCGTGTAGCTACTGACGTGGGGCCTGGAAAATCCTCAGAAAGATTCTCTTCGCACATTGGTAAGATGGCGAGGTCATCAGGCTGGTAAATTTCGGAGTCTGAAAATCAAAATACGTTTTTGTCAGTATCTCTGTGGCTGAAATCCGCCCCCTCTGTCCTTCCTCACAGCCACCGCCAAGCAGAGACCACTGCAAGAGCCTCCTAACCAGCCCCTCTTACCTCTCAAGGTGTCCTCCTCCTCAGAGCAACTGTTCAACCATGATAACCACCAACCCCCACCTGAAACTCATCAGTATCCCCACTATCTTGAGGACTAAATCCAAACTCCCTCCCACAGCATCTAAGACCCTCCATGATCTAGTTCCAGACAAGCTTTTCGGAACATCCCTTGGCACCACCCATGCAGATTCCCCAGCAAACCAACCATCCCTAAACACACCAGGCTGTTCATGCTTCTGCTTCTGCATGCACTGTTCCCCCTGCCTGGAATATGCCTGGCCCCTGACTTGACTTCTCCTCAGTGAACTCCTACTCATCCTTCAACACCCAGATCTAATTTTCCTTCCTCTGTGAGCTCACATTCAAGCTACGCAAAGCAGTCACCCACTCTGGGCTTCCCCAGCACCTTGTACATAACCCCTGGGACAAACATGCCAGGCACTGGGAGCTGGCACAGGATTGACATTTGGTGCATTCGCTTATTTACACAGCATTTTGTTATTGGAATCCCTCTCTCCTTTGCTGGACTGCAAGATCCTTCCCAGCAGGGACTGGCCTTTCATCTTCACATCTCAGTGCCCAGTACAGCACCTAGCCCAGACCAGCCATGAAGGAAGGGCTGACCAATACTGGGGAGTGAATGAAGTAACATTAAAGACCAGTGATTCTAAAATCCACAGCAGACAAGAGTCATCTCATTTCCATGAGTTTCTAGGAGATGCCACGATGCTCCCTGGAGTGGGCTGTTTTGCTGACTCACAATCCTGCCAGGAAACATTTCCTTACCACTAGTTTAAACCCCCAGGTATGCGGCCAAACACCTCTGGGAGGTGGACTGGTGCAGCAGGAAGAGCATATAGCTTTGAAGCCAAAGAGAAGAGGCCTCACACTCAGTTTTGCTACCTGCTGGCTGGGCAGACGTAGGCAAGTAACTCACTGTCCCAGAGCCTCAGTTTCCCCAAAGAGACGTGTGCTGTGCTTGTTGTGAGGCGTCAAGTCCAGGCCTGAGTCGAGAGCGTCTGTCCTTCACCACATACCAGCCTGCCTGCTGTCCAGGGAAAGCCCCGCTCAATACAAGGAGCTGTGGGAATACTTAAGAGGCAGCAGAACATAGCAGAAAACCCATCTCTGAAATCCAATGGTTTCAACTCTGGCTCTGCTCCCTACTAGCTGCGTGACCTTTAGGCAAGTGACTTAGCCTTTCTGAGCCTTGGTAGCTTCATCTGCAAAATGGAGAGAATATCATTTACTGTGAAGTCTTCTGTTTTTGCTTTCAGGATCAAACGGGACCATATCTGCAAAAAGGCTAAGAGTGTCCGGCACACAGTAGTAAAGGAAACCAACTCATACGAATGTGTATCCTTTGCTTTCCTGAAACCTTTAAAGACGAAGAGGATGCCTTTCCCGGGAGGCAGGCGAGCAAAGGCTTGTGGACTCGGGGAGATGCTGGAAAGGCAGCAGCGCAGGTTGGATGAGACGACCGAGGAGCCCCCTCCGAAGGAAAAGCAAGCGCAAATCCTTCTCAGGCTGGACATCCTACCTTCCGGGTTCTGCAGCTGCTCCTCGTGGCTTGACGCCCATTCTCGTCTCTCCACTCACAATGCAAATACCATAAAATAAACCTTTTTATTCTAGACAGTCAATGATCTCAAGAAAGGATTCCTAACAGAGCATTTTTACTGTACAAACTTTGTGCAAATCCCTCATCTCTGAGGTCCTTTGGGGTGGAGACCATGTCATTCATCTGTTTCTCCAGGGTCCGGCATGGGGCCGGGGGCCCTCAGAGAAGGTCCTCAGTGAGCACTGCAGGCTGAATGAGGGTCAGAGGGATGGGGGAGGAATCTCAACACGGCTTTTTCCCAGTGACTCACCTTCCACGACAATGAAATATCTTTGCTACGACAACCTCATGATGGAGTTCCATGGCCAGAAGCAGTGTCCACTCATGGGAATAAAGATCAGTTCTGATGACTTTCATTAGGAAATCATGAGGCAATGACACAGGCAAGACCCATACAACTGTCCTGCTGTGATACGGCCTGTGGCCGGCTCGGATGTTTGCACACACGCCCTCACGATGGCTGGGCGGGTGTGCGTCCTCGTACCCACACTGAGCCCTCCACTTTCAGCTCTGCTCCTTACGACACATTCAGACACTTGACACTCATAATTTTGACTTCAGACATGCCCTTAATCTACAGCGACCTGTGACTTGGCAGAGGTAAAGACCCAATTTCTAGGCTCTGAGGCCAGCAGGTAGCAAGTCTCACAGCTCAGCACCCGCACAGCCACACAGCTTTGCATTCTCTGCTCCACAGCCCTTGATAAAGGTCCAAAAGAGAGCTTTTTTTTTTTAATTTAAAAATCACTGCAGAGCGGATGTGGGACATGGAGGATTATAAACCGTATTGTTTGGTGTAAGCCTGCAGGTTTAGCAAGGGGTCAGGACACATAACTAACTATGTGCTGGGACCTGGCCTAGGCACCCAGCCCCTCACCTGTGCCATCCGTTGAATCTTCACAACAACCCTGTCCTCATTTCACAGAAGAGGAAACTGAGGCTGAGAGCTAAGCACTTGCCCACGGTTCAGGGCGAGTAAGCAGCAGAGCCCCCGGTCACAGCCTGGCAGCCTGCCTCCACCATGAATCCTGCCGCCTGACGTATCCCTCCTGCAAATGGGTCTCCCGTGTCAGGGGGCCACGAACAAGGGGAGACATTCCTGCACCCTCAGTGTGAAGGACAGTGACGTCTGTAGAAGCCCCTTCACTCATTTCTGAAGGAGCTGCTGAAGCAGCAGCAGCAGTGAAGGCATCACACGTGGTACCCAGCCTTGCAGGGGGTAGTCACCGCGCAAGTCACTGCAAGACCAGAAGACGGCGGGCTAATGGGATGTCTCAGCGACCAGGGACTCAGGAAGGCCTTCCCTGGAAAGGGACATTTAAGCAGAGAGTAAAGGATGAGGCATCAGCTAGGCAACAACGAAAGGGAGGAAATTCAGGCAGAGGCAGCAGCATGTGCAAAGTTCTAGAAGCACATTAAGAACAAAGGAAAGAAATTCACTAACGATGGGGATTTGAGAGGAAAAGGGAAACTGCCAATCGGTCAAGAAGCCTTTAGTAACCAACTAACTAGAAGCAAGAGATCAAAAGATGTCCCCAGGACCATCTACTTACATCACAGGAAACAACGCAGCTCTGGGGTTTCTGAGTCCTTTACCACCTGGGAGGGGGCCTCCTCCTCAGAGCCTGGGACCCAGGGCGGAAGCCTGTGACCGTGTCCTCAGTGCGCTGACTGCTGGCCCTGGGGAAGCCTATGCCACTGGGACAGGGCCCATAACTCAGTATCTCCCCAGAGACTGGCGTTCTCAGTGGTCGCCCCAGGAGAAATTTAGGGTCCTAAAGACAATGATTTCTGACCGAGTGAATTAGGACCACATTAATGGTAATTTTTTTTAATGAAGGGGGAAAATAAATCTAAGGTAAAAGGAAAAAAATGCACACATTCGTTCATGCTTGAACAGAATCATGAATATTGTTGTATTATCCTCTGTGCTTACCTGAATGCTTGTGACACTTCATAATTCTAAGAAGGAACCCAGCTTGCCTGGGGCCTCGCTCACATCTCTGCACCTTTCCCACTGACCCACCTGACCCCCAGGCTCGCTCCTCCCCACCCATCCCCCTCCCTGGGCAGCTGACGCCTAACAACAGCCAGCATCAAGCAGAACAGATGACCAGCTGACGGCGAGACCCCCCAGGGGCAGGCACCGTGCTGGCAGAAAAGCGTCAGACAAATGGACTGTAAGCTCAGACAGAAACCCTAATGTCCTTGCCTCATCCACCTAATTATCAGCTGGGTGACCCTGGATCAATTCATTTTAAAAACCTCAGCCTCCCCGGTGTTAAATGGGAACAACCATGACGCCCGCAGGTGGCTGTCACAGGACTTAGTAATAATTTTTATATAAAACAGCCCAGTGGCACCCGGCACACAGCAGCTCTTCGGTACACAGAGCGGGGTGAGTTCTGACCTGTGTCGCAGCTGGCGTGCTGATCGCTGTCCTTTTCCTGGTCTCTCCAGACACAGGGTGTGGCTTCGATTCCTTCCTGCTCCCTGGGGCCGTCCTGGTAGGCTGCTCCCACGAGGGGCTGGGCTGCAGGCAGCCACACAGAGAAAGACAAATAAATAAAACCACGGACTTGAAACTTAGCCAAGCAACTAAGAAGAACACAAAGATACAACAGGGAAAATAAAAACACTGGGGAGGCAAAATGCAATTTATAAGATAAAATTAATCTATCGAGCTGCCATAACAGGACATAAAAAGCGTAAATATACTGCAGCTTGTCTGAAATGGTTTAAGTCCAGGCTCTCCAAAAACTACGAGGGAGAAAATGAGTTCTGTAGACTCATGCCCACTTTTCCCAAGAAGGGAGGCCCCCGGGCCTTCCAGGCTGCTGCAGAAGCAGCACCTCGCTGAGGCACCCCAGGGTCTCAGCAAGAAATCAGAGCAGTGTTAAGTGCAAATGGCAAGCCCTGGGCAAGGTGCCAGGGCCTCCGTGTGGCTGCGTCCCCTCTGCCACCGCATCTCTCGGCTCTGAAGCGCCCCCATGCCCACCGCACTGATGGGCTTAGTTATCTGCCCCGTCCTGCTAGACAGGGAGCCTGAGAAGGCAGAGGCAGCACCTCCATCCTCGCTCTCTCCCCTACACCCTGTGCGCGAGGCCAGGAACACAGCAGGTGCTGGGGGTATTCACTGACGGCGTGAAGAGCGGGGTGGATGAAGGATGCTGGGAAAGGAAGGGGGATGGGGAGGGCAGCCCTACCAAAGGCCGACTTATCTGAAAACTGCAACTGATAGATCCCAGAGAGAACCTAAAATCAAATGGAAAATACCCCCGGCTGTAGATCCGCGTACAATCCATATGCAGGGTATCCTATCCCAGGGCTTAGGAAACAGTCAAGTAAGGGGAAACGTAAAGGCTTTGAAATCAGGCAGGCTGGTTCCAGTCAAGGTCGGGATGTCAGCAACAGCGTGACCATAGCCAAGTCGCTCTCCGAAAGTGCTGCCTCAGCGTTAAAATGGGAATAATCGTGTGCCTGCCTCAAAGGACTGTTAAGGGGATTCAATTAGATCACATATTTAAAGTGGACAGTGGGGTTCAACATGTAACGGGCGCTCACTTTATTTTATTTTACTGCCACCAGCAGTCCAAGGCTCCCAGTCACTTCCCATCTCTGAACCACCCTGAAAACACCCCGCTCGGATGCAACCTCCCACCTCAAGCCTGCCCTTGCAAATGCGGCTTCTCCGACAGCCTCCCCAGGAGGGGATGTTTCCTCCCTGCAACCCCCAGTCCCTGTCTTACTGCCTCACTAGCAGCGCTCGACACAGCCGATCTGTTCGTCACTCAGCTTTTGGAAGCCATGCTCTCCCGGCTCCCTTCCTCCCTCACTGGCTGTGTCTTCTCAGTCCAGCCTCCACTTACTAGAGAGCCCACGTGTCGGTTCCTGACCTGCTCCCTATCTCTCCAAGCCTCGAAGCTTCAAATACCAGCAATGTGTTGACATTTCCAAAGTTCCCAGCTCTAGCCCAGGCCTCTCCCCTTGACTCCAGGCTCATCCATCTCCAACAGCCTGGCTGACGTCCCCACAGCGACGGGCAACAGGCATCTCAAAGGAGTCCCAAACCAGACACCTCATGTCCCCCTACACCTGGCTCTCATCAGTCTTCCCATCTCAGGTATGACATCCTTCCAGTCGTTCTTAGCCTTTAAAGCAGAGGTCAGCCTAATAATGAATATTTGAGACTCTTCAAGCCACAGGGTCACTATCACAGCTCCTCAACTCTCCCATCACAGTGCAAAAGCCAGCACAGACAATATGCAAATGAACGTGTGTAGCTGTGCCCCCATGAAAGTTTACAAAACCCACAGCGAGCTTGGTCCGTAGGACACAGTCTGCCAATCCTGGCTTTAATGCCTAACTCAGACTCCGCTGCTCAAAACCCTCCAGCCTTTTCCAACCTTACCTAGAGGAGAAGCCCGAGACTGGTCTGGGAGGGCCTAGTGGGCCCGCCACCTCCCTGACCCCTTACCCTCTCGCTCCTCCTCCCTCCACTCCAGCCACATAATTGGCCTCCTTTCTCTCCACCCAACTTCTCAAGTTCGCAGGCCTTTGTCCTTGCTCCTTCTGCCAGGCACGCACCTCCCAAAATAACTAGTCCACTCACTCCCTCCCAGGTTCCCCTCGAATGTGGCCTCACCAGGGAGGTGCTAGGAGTCCACGTGCCGTAGCAAACCCTGCTCTGTGCCACGTTTCCCAGGCCCTTCACCTGCTTCATCCTCCTGCACAGCACTGATCGCCCCCATGTCACACACATGCCCATCATCTTACTGCCTCCCTCCCCCGGCAGGAATGTGAGCGGGACACAGACCTCGCCTCTTTTGTTCACTCTCTCCCCAGCGCCTGGCCCACAGGAGGACAGACACACACTTTCTGAATAAATACATAAAAGATCACTGCTGTTCTTGTTATTGTGGGTTGCTGTCATCTGCTTACAGCAGGAGTTGAAAATGAAGAGTCAACATAAGCACTTCTTTGGATTCGGGAACCCTCCGGAGATGACGCTCAGTGCTACACACGTGCTTACCTGCGTGGTTCTGGGAGAGGGTGCGCAGCTTTCTTCCGACTCTCAAAGGGGCAGAACCTCTAAGCACCACTGTCTCGGACTAGGGGACACCATGGAGGTGCTCCCACCAAGCTCAGGGGTCTAACCCAAGGGCTCTCTATCTGGGGAGCTCCCAGGAGAGCAGAGACAGCCGATTCAGAGTGAACAGGGTGGCAGGTCACTTCCAGAGGAAGCCAGAGGTCAGTAGGGTTTGGAATTAGCCCTGAGGAACCCAAACAAGTGTGGTCTGGACAGCCAGAGAACCCGCAGAGAGGACTGGAGCTTCCACAGCCAGGACCTGAGAAAAGCCCAGACTTCAGTCACACCACGCACGCCTGGGGCCCCAGGCCTTCCCAAGCGAAGGGCCCAGTGACCTCACAAGGCCTGGGAGCAGGACAAGCCCCCGCTGGCCCTCCAGAAGTCAAGGAAAACAACATATGCATGTTCCCTCTGTGCTCCCTCCATCGTGCGTTTGTCAAGAGTCAAGATTAGTCACTGCAATTCTCGGAATTTATACTCAAACGTATTGTAATTCGGAACAATGAGGGTGACATTTCTGGCCGTCCTAGCGGGTGGGTCACCCAGCTCGCAGAGAACACCTTTTCCTCGGGGCTTACCTTTCAGGGGCTCTTCGTCTGGCGCTGGCCTCCCCTCCATCATTGCTTCAGCCAGAATTAACTTTTGGTGAAGTTGCTTATTGCGAATTTTGGACTCCTTCAGCTCCCCCTGCAGCTCCAGGATCTGGCCCTGCAGCTGGGCCACCACCCCCTGGGAGGCGGGGAGCCGGCACACACTTCCTAGCGACTGGGATGGTTTTATCAGGATGGGCAGGCGCGACTTCTTAGCATTCTGAAAACACACACACGTGAACGATGAACACCCTTCCTCAGGTCTCGGAGTCAACTTTCTCGCGCCAACCTTGTAAAACAGGATTTACAGAGGTTGTGCAGATGATGGCATCTCTGTTTATCCCTCAGCCCACAGAGCTCGTGTCTTGGCAGGTCCCTCCGACTGACAAGGGCCAGGATTTTCCTCCCAGACACCCTCCTGGCCCTGGCCTGCTGACTCTGCCCCCAGATGTTCCCATACAGCAGATCTCTTCCCAACACAATCTTCTGGGAAACACCTTCTTGTTCCTTATCTATTTCCTCACTTCCCACCCTTTCCTCAATATAAGCCAACCTGCCTCCCACCCCGCTAGACCACCAGAACCATCCTTTACTACATTTTTCGGGGGCTCCTGGGTCACTAGGCCAATGGCTATTTCTCAGGCTGAGAGCTCCTGACCTGCCTGGCGCACACGTCTCCATCTCTGATGGCCTGCAGGTCCTGCCAAGTCAAGTGAAAGCTCAGTGTTTTGACGGCATCACCCCGGGTCCCCAACCCCACAGCTACACCACTGGGACGGTCTCTGTCCTGGTGAACCACACCCCTGTCCAACAGCCCGGGCGCCATCTTTAAATGGCCCTCTGGGTGCACCACCCACTTCTATCCTGCACCAGGCCCCCCTAATTCCAACGCCCAAGCTGTCTGTGAATTCTTCTGACTCCTCTCATCCTCCACTGCCACTGCCCAGCTCCTGATGCTGTGAGCTCTCACCGAGGCCACAGCGACAGCCTCCTGACACTCACTCTCGCCCTTTCTAACCCACTTGCCATATTGCACCAAACAGGCAAACCTACCTTCCCCGTGCTTAAAACTATTTTAATTGTTCCCCAGTCCTCGTACAACAGAGGTCAAAGTCTTTACCCCAGCCCACATGTTGTGCCTGAGAGACTCCCCTCTCCTGCCTCCCCCTACTCTCCAGCGACAGACCTCCTATCATTCCTCAAAATGCTGCATTCCTTCCACCTCAGGACCCTAGCACATGCTGTCTCCTCTGCCTAGAACACTCTTTCCTGCTCACCCCACCTCTCCCACTAATCCCAATACCTTCATTAAGGCTCAGATCCAATGGGCCTTCCTCAGAAGAACGGCCTCGATTTCCCTGTTATATATTCACTGCCCGCTAGGGTTCTCCTTGGAAAACATTCTCACCGTGAGAATGAAATTCCTATGCAATTACTTGTTCTTTGTCTACCTTCGGCACCGCCTGTAAGCTCTAGGGTTCATGCATTTTGCGTTTCTTATTCATACTCTATCCACAGCTTCCAGCACAAGAGCTAGTATACAATAGGTGCTCAACAACTATTTGTAGAATTAACATACAAACAACCTAAGAGGTCAAATGGGGATGCCTTTTAAGTGGAGGAATTTTAAGCATGTTTAAAAGCTGAGAAGAAGGACTTGAATAGAAAATACATTAAAAAAAAAAACTACAACTCAATAATAAAAACACAGATAACCCATTTAAATGATGAACAAAGGATCTGATAGACATTTCTCAAAAACACATATGGCCAATTAGCACATGAAAAGATGCTCAAATAGTTGGTCATCAAAGAAATGCAAATCAAATCACAGTGAAATACCCCCACTTCCTACCCATCAGGATGATTATAATCAAAAAGGTAATAACAACTGTTGGCGAGGATGTGGAGGAACTGGAACCCTCATATGTTGCTGTGGAAACTTCTGCAAACTAGATGCAGCCACTTTAGAAAAGAGTCTGGCAGTTCCCCAAAATGCTAAACAGACTTACCACATGATCTAACAATTCCACTCCGAGATATATACCCCGGGGAAAGAAAAACATACGTACACACAAAAACGCATACATGAATGTTCACAGCAGCATTATTCTTAACATCCAAAAAGCAGAAACTGCCCTAAACGTCCACCAACTAATGAATGGATAAATAAAACGTGGTGTATCCATACAATGGACAATGAAACAAAATGAAGTACCGATCCATGCTACAGCGTGAATCAACCTTGAAAACATTACGCTAAGCGGAAGAAGCCAGTCACCAAAGAGCACCTGCTACATGACTCCATGTACCTGAAATCTAGAACAGGCAAATCTATAAAGACAGAAAAACGCCTGGTGGGGGCCTACAGCTAGGGCTGGGGGAAACCGGAAGTGACTGCTAACGTGTTGGGCTTCTTTTTGGAATAAGAGTATGTTGTAAAATCGATTGTGGTTGGTAATGGTTGGGACCCTGAGAATGAGGAAATCAGCGAAGTTTCTCAAGAAGGAAGAGGAAGGAGCCCTTCTTGCCATTCTAGGGTGGAAAATGCTTTTACGCACGCTCTCCCATGATCCCCAGGTCAACTCTGCACTCCCAGGGCTCACAGGACCCTAGAAGTTATGCCTATTTTTCTGGACGGAGAGCTGAGATATCAAACAACCAGACTGGTATGATACAGTAAGAAGGTTAGAGAGCCGGATCTCAAATTACCTCTTCAGACTCTACTGCCCAGTTAAGAAAAGCGAGACACGTTCTGCCCTGAAATCCCAGGCAAGAGGAAAACAGGCTCAAGGACAAGAACGGTCTGAGGGGGTGACACGGACCACATGGGAGGAGGCAGATGCCTCATCAGAGAGGCTAGAAAATAACAGTCATTTGCTTGGTCCTCAGGCTCCACCAATCTTTATTCTTGGATCCAAATCTGTGTGTCATATGGCAGCAGGAAAGTGATCTGCAAGTGTACAAATGCCAGTGCCAATTTCAGGCTGGAGGACTGCCGTCAGTCAACCCAACGCCGCTCCTAAAATAACAGCCCACAAGATGCTACCTTATGGACTCCGAACAGAGCCCCATCTACTGCCGTATTGAAGATGTCATAGTGGAACTTCCCACAGTGGAAGGGGCACAGGGGCACGCATACATACAGGACAAGGCACGAGGCACGCACTGCCTCACTGAGCCAGCCCTGGGTTCCAGGTCACCCAGATCCCATTCGAGACACTGAGGAAGTCACGTGACTGACCCAAGGGTCCCCATTGCAATCACAGGTGTATCTGTAAAGCCCCCCGTCTCACCTCTATCCCATCTCCCTGTTTCACCCTGGGGTTGCAAAGATGTTCTTTCTAACAGGATGCCAAAGTTCTAGCCTATCTAGGGTTCCTGATTCCTTGACTAACTGAAGACCATTAAATTTTCTTCTTTGCATAGACTGAAGGCCACCCTGGTGATAAGAGGGCGCCTCTCTTCCTGAGAACATGGGGTTATAACATCCCCATCTGCTAAAACCAGACCTCCTACCCTTCTGAACAGCTAAGTCACCCTGGACAATGTTCTGAGACTTTCAGAGTTTGTATTTCTTCATATGTAGAATGTAGGTAATGCCTCCCTAACTCATATGCTTCTTGAGAAGATTAAATGTGAAATGTGACATATGGGTAGAATTATCTAGCACAATCCTGGCATATATAGCAGATGCTAAAAAATAAACACACCTACCTCCCTTTTGAAGACACCGGCAAGAAGGATAATGCCAAATGAGAAAGATTTTTTCAGTGTATTTGGGGAAATTAAGTTCATTTGCTTATCCAATTTTCCTGAACATAGGATGCTATCTCCTACACAAATAAGGGGGAAAAACACACGCACACACACAACATTTAGTTTTCCTAACACACGGGTACAAACTAAACTAGCTGGGGCAGATGAGAGCATTTCTATTCTAGCCAAATGGCACAAATTTGCATTTCGAGTACCGTTAATATAATGGCACTGCCTTTTTTTGTGTGTGTGTGTCTACTGATATCTTTAGAAAACCCTTTTCTAGAAATTACAGTTTTGGTGTATAATTTAAAACAATCAAAAGCAATTTTGCTAATGATATATCTAACTCTCTTTGGTATACACAAAAGCAGTAATTTAGTGGTCAGAAAATAAACTTAATTCTCCATTCTGATGCTATGAAGCAGTGTGTACAGTTGATTTCTCAGATACAAAACATCCATCGGAGAGAGGAACACCCGCAGCAGCCATCACTGGCACGCTGTTACAAACACTGCCCGCTTCCTTCTCTACCGGAACCCTTGCATCTCCCTGCGGCGGCGAGCCTCGCCCCAAACCCGCCCCTTTCTCCGGGAGGATTTTAGTAAATGGCCCGATCAAATATTGCCAGGAGAGTCTGCCTTATAATAATCTGGCATTTTGGTGGTATTTGAGGAGACGCTTAGAGAAAGCATCTTGACCGAAGCAAAATGTTCACCCACCAAAGCCGGACCCAACCACCCCGGCCAGCGCGGGCTGGAGAGGAGCCTGACCCAGGGAAAGGCCATGGCGGTGCTGTCAGGCTTGGGGCGGGGCCCACCTCAGCCCATGAACAGCTAGCTGGCCACAGTCACTCAGGACCTGGCTGCTCATCTTTGATGGGTGTCGTAAGCATAAGAGAACACAGACCAAGCCCACAGAACAGGACCTCACACACAAAATCTGCACAGAATAAAGGCCAGGTTCTCGTCCCTACCCCTGAAGTCAAGTTATTACAAATGTAATGCAACCTGCAAAAGTAAAGGTCCTACAAAGAACAAACTTACGGTTACCAGGGGCAAAGGGGTGGGGGATGGAGGGATAAACTGGGAGTTTGGGATTTGCAGATACTAACTACCATACATAAAATAGATAACCAACAAGGTCCTACTGTAGAGCACAGGGAACTATATTCAATACCTTGTAATAGCCCATAATGAAAAATAATATGAAAGGAATATATATGTATGTGTGTGTGTGTGTGTAACTGAATCACCACGCTGTACACCAGAAATTAACACATTGTAAACCGACTACACTTCAATTAAAAAATTTTTAAAAATAAAAATACAAATTGAGAAGTAATTGGCTTATATTAGTTTTAGGCATTAAAAGAAAAAAGTAAAGGTCCAGCAATAGGGGGAAATTATATCAATTTTGGCACATTCCCCACAGTGGAATCTTACAAGCTGTTACAAGGAAAGATGTTGCTGATACATAACATGGGAAGAGAAAGAAAGATGCTGCACAGATGTGACTCTGTTTCTATACTGAAAACATGGAAATCTCATGACATACAGATAAATGAGAGAGAGATGGGGTCGGAGAGGAGAGAGAGCGGGAGGAAGTGGTGGTAACACTGTGGGGAAGGCGAGGATGGACTCACACCTCTGGGGAGACGCCAGGAATCAGTAGAGAGACACCAGACTTTAGACAAATAAAAAAAAAAGTAGTGAGATCAGAGGTGATTTTTCAGTTTTTTGTATTTAATAAGTAACTAAGGAAGTAATATGCGGGAAAACTTACTTTTTCGGTCCCCCAGGGGAAGGAAAGGGCAGTGGCCTGTCGCTCCGGCTTCCTGCACAAATTCTCGGGCTGATGCTTCGCGCTGCACACGGCGTCTGAGGGTTTCTCCTCCCAAGCCTCCCTCTGGCCCTCATGTCTGAATCTGAGGGTGTCGCCCTCCGTGGCCGCGGTCTGCACAGAAGCGTCCTTCTGCTCCACCTTGGCCTCCGCGTCCACCTTTGCTAGCTGGGCTCCCAGCGGCCACTTCAGTGCCTCGTGTGGCTGGGAAGACGAGTTGGCATGGATAAAATGTCCAAGTTCTCCTCCGAGCTGAAGGGCCATCTGCTTCAGTGTCTTCTCCGTTTTACCAACAAGATATTCTCCAGAAGCTTCCTGCTCTATCAAGCACAGCTGTTCCAGAAGCAGATCACGGAGCTCTTTCAGAAGGTCTGGCCTGTTTCTCCAAAAGGGAAGGAAGTGGAAGGACTAAGCTTTCTGCTACGGCCTTGTCCCCGACCCAGCTCCCCCCACCGATTCTGGCCCAGACTCTGTTTAAACTAAGCATAGTGAGCACCTGCCACGTGCCGGGACCTACGCCAGGTATTTTATCCCCGTCACCCTAGAGCAACCACACAAGGTGGGAACCACCATGTACTTCGTGGATAAGGAGAAGAGAACTGAGCTGACGCAGGGACACAGCAAGTGAGGGGGCCACACGGCTGCCCAGATGCAGGCTGGGCCTGGGAAGAAGCAAACAGGGTCACTGCTGTTCACGACAGTTGTAGGATCCACTCCCTGCCCATCCCATCTCCATCCCTACATCCAGGGGCAAGTTTGGCCTTGAGTGAATCTGGTCCACCTGCTGGATCTGTGACCTGGTCCAACAGGGTGCACAATGGATGCTCAGTAAATGGGCACCGAATGAAGGGATGCTGTAAAGTGCCCGGGGTTAAAAGAGCAGTGGCTTTGAAATCAGACCAAAGGGCTTCAGATTCTAACTCTGCGATTCTTACGAAGTCAGGTGGGTCTTCCCACAGGACAGCTGTGAGGCTTCAACAAGAGAGTACAGGCAGCAGATGCTTTTCATGGCCCTTGACACACACCCTGGGGACAGTCCCACCTCCGGCGCCCACCGCATCTCTCTGTGGCCTTGGGTCTTTTCCCAGAGCTCTGTGAGCCACCAGCAGGGCAGCGGGCAAGTGTGGACCAGTTTATAGCTCCAGGGGAGACCCTAAACCCATGGAGGAAGAGTGTTAGATGAAATTCCCAGTCTCCCTTCCGACAGACAGACAGCACCGAGGCAGGGTCTACACAGTCCCTAGCGGGTGGCCGGCAGGATGAAGTCCCCGCTGCTCACAGCAGTAATCAGATCACCACGCACACTTACTGGCTCTGCCTCCACTCCCGCCTTACTCTCCCTCATCCTTCTTCCTGCTGCATGAGCCACATCCCAAATCAACCAATTGCATCCAAGTCTTTCTCTCAGGCTCTGCTTTCCCAGGAAAATTACGAAAAAAGGTGGAGGGAGGCAAGCACTGAGGGAAGGGCCAGCTGGAAAGCTGTTACTCCCTCCAGGGAAAAGAAGGTGTGGTCAGGATAAGGCAGTGGGATCTGGAGAGGGGAGAGGGGAGGGGACAGGAGAGGCCCCCGCCCTGCGAGGCCCTTCTTCTCTCTGCAGTTTCTCCCGCTGCCTGGGTTCGTATCTCTGTTACGACTAGGAGCGACACGGCCCCTCGTGCTCTCTTTCCAGAGGGCCCTCCAGGGGCAGGGGCAAGTAAGGCCTTCCTCCTGTCTGGATTCCTAACATCCAGCCCTTGGCAGAGTCAATCCCATTCAAATTAAACAGCTACAGCACACTGACCTAGGAGAAAAGCTAAAAGTATGAAAAATGAAATTAAAATGTACGGTACATTTCTCACTTCTAATGTGGGATCATCCAGACTATACAAACCATCTTAAAATTCAGTAAACTCAGACTTCAAAACTATTCCTGATATTTCAAGCATGTTAAACTATATTTTCCTTTCCTCTCCTTCCCTTAATATAGATTAAAAATAATGACAATTGTTACTGAGCTAGCCAAAGGAGGACCATTACTCACTACCAAACAACACACAATAAAATCCAAGAAAAAGACTTACAAATGGGTAGTAAAAGGTGGTGAAAGAGGCCATTATAATACACTAAAGTGGTAGTGCTGTTAAATAAAACATTTCAAGTGTTACTCGGCTAGAAATCTGAACCGCAGATTCATTAAGCTGTCGCCATAATCGGGACCTTTTAATGGTTCAGTCCAAGGGCCCTGTCGGAGGCCCAAACACTGTTTATGTACGCTGAGCATCTTTGCCACAAAGTGGGCATGAGGGGAGGAGCACTGACATTTACTGAGCACTTACGGGGTGCCGGAGCCTTGGAACACACTAAATACACGTGGCCCTCACAGTGAGAGTGAGATAGGGGCTGTTATTAACCTCATTTCACAGAAGAAGAAGAAACAGGCTCACGAAGATTCAGGGTCCCTGAGCAAAGTGGCAAAGACTGGAGTGCGGACCTTTCAGGCTCCAAAGAAGCCCTGCATGCTTTCCAGTTTTCTAAACATAACCCTTCCACTGTGATGCCGAGCTTTTAATTGTCCGCGCGTTCATTCAGATATTTACTGAGCACCTGACAGGTGTCACATCAGGCAGCGGAAATGCATGCCAAAGAAGAATCACAGCACATACATTTCATTAAGGGGACAGACATTCATACACACACTGATAACTAAATAAGACAAGTATAAGGAAGGAGGGACGAGGCGGAGGGAGGGGGAGGGCGGCAGTCCTGAGAAAAAGTGTAGAAGCAGGGATTCTTGTCAGACAAAGAGGTCAGGAAAGGCCTCTTTACAGAGCTGATCTCTAGCTAAGGCACCACCAGTGTCTCAGGAAAAGAGCATCCAGGCAGAGGGAGCAGCTACTGCAGAGGCCCTGAGGGGAGGATGAGCTTGGATGGCTGAGGAACAGGGCGGTCAGTGTGGACAAGAGAGGCAGCTGATAAAGACCAAGAAACAGGCAGAGGCCAGGCCGCGAAGCTCGGATCTCACCCTAAAGGCGACAGAAATCCACTGGAGAGTTCTCAGCACGGAATAGACAGGATCGCACCTAAGTTTCTAAAAGGTGGCTCTGGCTGCTCTGTGGAGAACGACCAGCGAGGGGCACCGATGGAAAAGCAGGGAGATGTCAGAAGCTGGGCTGCTGGAGTCCGGGCACGAGCGGGCGGCAGCAGGGACGTGAGGGGCTTGGGGAGGGATCCACTTTGGAGGTGGACTCAGCAGGACTTGCTGATAGCTATGAGGGTTGTGGAACGCAGGCTTTCGGCCACAGCAGTGCTGACACGTGAAAGAACAGCAGAGAAGCACGTTAGAACAGGGGGCTGGGCTTTAGACAGACAGAGCTGAAGTGCCTATTAGACACCCAGGAGGAGACGGCGATCTGGAGAGGGGTCTGCACCGCCAGAATTACTGTGTAAGTCATGCAGGACACTCTGAAGCCACAGGACAGTGAGAGGAAAAGGGAGCTGAGAACAGAGCTCCGGGCCACTCCAGCATCCGGCATCCAGCACAGGAAGAGGAGCCAGCAAAGGAGACCGAGGAGGGGCCAGGGAGGGAGAAAGAAAACAGGGTGGTGAATGCGAGGCCAGAGTACATGGCAGCTGCCTGGGAAAGAGGACACTAGGCACTGGGTTTCACAACTTGGAAACTGGCATTGACCTTGGTAAGTGACGCGAAGGAAGTGAAAGCACTTGGAACGGGATAAGGAGGGCTAAGTGGTCCCCCACCTGTCACGTCCAGCCTTTCCTTCAGAGCTACCCGCACAACACGCGCTCACAGGACAGGTCACACTTGGCGTTTCGCATCATTCATCTCAAAGTGAGCGCTCACTCGGCACCCCCAGCTCTAGCTGGCACCTCCAGCACTAGCCAATTCTGCAGCTTCTCCGGGCTGGTGACCCACCCTGGTCGGGGGAGGGAGCCAGGGAGGCCACAGAGAGCTGTTCAGAGGGAGCAGCATGGGCTGGTTCTGAAAGGAGAAGCCGCTGGGTCCCCTCCAGGGCCAGGAAGGGCCATGTGGCCAGAGCACAGGAAGCCGGGCGGGAACCGGGTGAAGGTCTCCAGGCCAGGCGGGGCCTAGCAGGCCGGGCTGGGGCGTCTGATCCCGAGACAAGTGGAGAGTCTCTGTGGGGTTTTAAGCAGAGGAGTGACTGCACTGCATTTAAAGTAGCTGCGATGGGAGTGGCGTGGAGAACAGACTGGAAGGGGGCAGGATGCTGCAGGGCACTAGTTAGGAAGCCACTGCAGAGAGGTGACAGAGAAATGTGACAGAAGCAAGGAATGGAAAGGACACAGCAGGAGGAGGAGAAGTGTATTCAGGAGGGGAACGGTCTGGGGGCTGCAGGAAAGGGGAGGGCCAAGGAGGACTCCGGCTTCTGTCTAGATCCCCAGGCCCCAGCCCCTCTCTAATACAGGATCTCCCTTCAGGGACTTGCCCCGCCCATCTTCTCCCCTGCAGCCCACACCCCCGAGTCTCTCCCGCTGCTGCTCTGCTAATGTCTTCTGACCCCTCGCCGGCGTCACGCTCTGGTGGGACCTTACCTGTCCCCCATCCACGCCCAGAAGAGCAGACTCAGGTTTCCTAGGACTGAGCGTCTCTCTGTTACGTAGAGCTCGACTGTACTATACAAGTAATCCCAAGGGCTCCCCTTTTAGATTTTTTCAAATGTCACACCTAAGTTTAAGCTACAAACCCCAAAGTATTTAGGTAATAAATTCTAAACCACGTCCTCTAGGGAATGGGGCAAAGGAACAGGAAGCAAATAAAAGAGAGGGCTGGACCCACAACCACAGTGTACACCATGCAGAGGGGGGACAGCCAGCCCATCCCCCACGAGCCAAGCGGGGCCCCGCACCGACCCTTCTCTCCCCCGCCTCAACTCCATGAAAGAGTGCTCTGCTTGGTCAAGTGCAAGACAGCTAGCCAGGCTAAGGCAGCGAGGGGACAAGTTCATCCTTATTCCATCCCTGGGACAGACGGGTAAGTGGCATCAGACTCACTCCTGGGGCCCAGCTACCCCGCCAGCCTGCTGGCCCCACAGTGGATGGTTGGAGGGTGGGAGAGCTCACAGGTGGAAGTCCCGGGCCTCAGCCGATGGAGCTCCGCACCGGGGATTCAGACCCGGGCTCAGCAAGGACACAGGCCTGAATAAAGGGTGGCTGATGTCTCCTGCATACGGTGAGACCTGAGGGTCATGGGAAAGGTTAGGAGAAATTGGCAGGGCACAACTTAAGCAGTATTATCACCAAAATCCCACTTAACATCAAGCTGGATCTATACTTTATACACATTATTTCATTTAATCCTCACAAGATCCCTATGGGGTAAACAATTATCATCACCCCCCACTTTCAGATGAGGAAACAGAGATGAGGAGACACGTCAGAAGGTCTAAATGGTAGGGCTGGACTGGAGCACAGGTCTGTCTGACTCCAATACTCCGCGTTTTCAGTCCATCAAAAACACCTACCTCCTGGAGGGAATTCCTAGACAGAAAACTGGTGTTTCCCAGACCAGTCAGAACCCTAGCTACCCAAGCAGGCTTTTTAAAACACCACACCAATTGGGCCATTAGGACAGCCCTTAGAGCCACGACTCCAGGCACCTACAAGGAGCAAGTAACCAAACAAACAGCAGGTGTCATAAGCTTGTCTGCAGAGGGTTGGCCCACAAAGCATTTTCTTTAAAAATGTAATGAAGTCCAAATTTTTTTTAATCAAAAAGGTTTTTATTTTTTAAGTTTTAATAATTTTTTTTAGTAAAGTTTGCTCTCAAAGCTTACTTGGTAAAATTGGAAATGATTTAGCCTTTTGGAAATAATGCTGCAAAAACAGGACTTTATACCCTTTGATGATACTATCAGTGACAGGCTGAACCTATCAAAAAAAAAAAAGTCCAGTTTCTCTTTTTTAATTTAAAACAGTTTTACTTAATTGCTTAAATTTAAAAATAACATTAAAATAATCCTATAACTAGTTACAAAGGACAGCTTGAAAAAGTCTTCTCATTTTGAAAAAATGAATATAATGTATCCATGATGTTCCAAGAATATGAAATTTTAAAAACTAAAGACTTCAAATCCTTGATAAACCAGGAGAATTAAAAGATCTCAATACGAATTTCTACTGAAAGACTGGACGCTCTGAGCCCAGGTGCTCGCGTGACAACGGTGATCTGGGGCTCCTGTCTGCTGGGAGGGAGCACACAGACCCCAACTCACCGCACTCCCACACGGTCCGCTGCACTTTCCCCAGCTCACAGCACCTAGGGCCCTCCGAGGAGATCCCCAGAGGCAGCAAGTCACATCTGTTCACTCTGCCATAACCTACGGGCCCCTGATGTGGAGGAAGCCCTCCAGTTTTCAAGTGCGGATTCAGGTCGCCTAACTCCCTGGGATGATGTAGCAGAATGGCCACTGGGCAGCTCCCCTGAGAGGCCTCACACTCGAAAAGTGTAAACAGATGTCAGGGGCTGGGAAGGGTAGCCTCCCCGAGCTCACAGAAACGGAACATCTCCATCCTTTTCCAGCTGCAGAACTGTCTCCGAGGCTGAGCCCACCAAGGACCCGAGGACGAGCCAAGAGCCCTGGGCAGCGACACCGGCTCCATTTCTGCACCTGTGCCGGAGGAGAACCACAGCTCTCACTGAACACACGCCTCATGCCCGCCACGTCCCGCGAACATCATTCGTCCTCGCTCCTCACGGCAACCCCAAGAAGCGGTCAGAGAGACGGGGGCCCTGGGAGACGGGGGCACGTTTCCCTCCGGCTCCCAGGCCCACAGCGGCCGCGATGGTGGACGGGACAGAATGGGAAAGAAGGGCAACTGGCCCTGAAAGGACTCATTTGAAAAATACCAATGGTACGGAATATTTCTCCTTTTTAAGAAAAACACCCTGTAGTGTCTCCTCACACAGGAATGACTCCTCCCGGCAGGTGTAATGAGAAGGGAATTTCAGTTCGAGCGCAACATAAAGCAGCAGAGTTGGGACCACACTGGTGGCTTTTACTGCTGTGGAAACTGGCAGAGACTTCTCTCCTCTGACAGCCGGGCAGCCCTTCCTGGGGCTCCCCAGACTGATTCTGAGGGAAAGCTTTCTCCTCTCTACAAGGGGCCTGCACGAGGCTCTGCTGAATGAAGTCCCCTCATGGCCACCAGCCTGCAGCCAGCTCACTTGACAGCACGACTGGCCAGGTTCCTCCCAAGCCGCTTCAGGTGCTCTCTTGGGTAAACTGCCCAGCACCTCATCCAAATCCATTCAGCAAAGCGAGGCTGGCCTCCCCTCAAACTCCAGAGCCAAGGCAGGGCCTGGGCCCCACATCTACCTGGATTCCAGCAACCACGTGGCCTTCTCGCTGAAGAGCGGGCCGAGCAGGCTCACGAGCTCGCCTTCTAGGCTCTGGTCTCCGGGGCAGCCAGATTTGGGGGCTCCGTCGTAGTCCAAAATATTGGAATCTGGGTGTCTTAAATATCCATTTTTGCAGCCCCCTCGGGAATAGTCCTCCGTAATCTGCAAATCGAAGCATGTGGTCAGATCATGGACTACAGAGGAGGGGAAGGGGGTCATGTGGAGGAAAGAGAAAGGGTGGAGACAGAGAGTGATGGGTGAGTGCAAGTCAACCAGAGAGAAACTGCAAGGGGAGAGGGAGGGAGGGGGCACAGGCACGCGGTCCACACATGCTCACTGTCCGGCAGGGAGATGCTCTGGCGAGGACACACAGATGCCTATGTCACTTCTCCTCATCCTCGGTTTCCTCATCTATAAATGGGATAGTAACGACGCCTTGAAGGAGGCTAGGATGACGGAATGAGACGGTTGACCCACTTAAGCTCATGGCACAGCGTCTTAACCCCTACAGCTGTGTCCCCCAACCCATGGCCTCCTTCTTGTGAAGTCTTTCTAAGGAGGGTACAGAACATGGTTAATTGTTAAAGCGTTAACAATGCATTGGACATTTATTACAGACTTCTTGCAATGCACCTTCCTCATTATGTATCAGAGAACCAACCTCTTTCCAGACACATCCTAATTAATGTGACTTTGATTTGTCTCATCAGGACAGTGGAGAGTTCCTAATTCCCACAGAGATGTTATTTACAGATCCCCCTTCTTGGGTCACTGAGGGTCCCAGAAGAGTGGTGCCAAGGAAACGTCTAGTTAAAGCCTGCGCTGGGCATGTCTTGAGGCGCCACAATTAGCATTCTTTCTCCCCCTTTCCAGAGCTGTGAGCTTCTCCTACCAGTCTATAAATAACTCCTCTTGACTGCATTACTGCCGGTGATACACACACTGGCCATCACACCCCTCTCTCCACATTTGTACAATGATTAAGATTTTTAAATGGAAGACGAGACCCACACAAACGAGCTGTTATTTATAGGGTCTTGTTTGCCACCAATCTAGTTACTAAATCCATCTAAATAAGCAACCTCCACAGAAGGAGAAGCCTAGAATATAGTAACAAAAAGAGCACTTGCCACCATTTACTAAGCACTCAGTACCTACCTTCTATTTAAATAACACAACAGTTCTAACAAGGAGGTATTACTACCCTCATCGATGGGGAAACTCGGGCTTAGGGGTTAAACAAGGGTTAACCAAGGTCACAGAGATAGTGACCAAAACTCAAAATCAGATCTATCTGATTCCAAAGCCCCTACTTTTAATCACTTTGCTCTCCAAAACGCTCTACATTTTGATGGTCTCCGATTCATGACTCCTCAAGCTTGAACAACTTGAAAGCCACGAAGGCCAAATCTGCAGCCTCCCATCTCCCGCCACATCCGTCTTTAGGGTCCTTTCAGCCTTGAAGAACATTGGCTCCTAGTGTGCAGTATCCATGTGACCGGAGAAGCCTTCTAGGTAAACAGGATCAGATTCTCAACCCCACCCAGAGGATAGTAAGCTGGGTTTCAGATCAGAACACTGTGGAGAGACATCGGGAAGGGAAGTTTGGTTCCATCAGTGGCTCCTTATGTCACAACAGAATGATCTGGGAGCTCACAACAGTCCAGAGACAAGGGCTCTGGGCCCTACTCTGTCACTGACTTACCCTGAGCCCTAAATAAACCATCATCCCCTCCGAGGCCTCAGTTTCCAATGCCTAAAATGAATGGGTCAGGTTAGAGCTCGGAAGACCCGCCCAGGCACAGCATCCAATGCCTACTATTCTCCTATGACAGCCTCGCTTGTCTTTGCAACGCTACGTTTGTTCTCCGGCTTCAGGACAGGCTCTACCACCCCGTTTGCAACTTCTGAAAAGGCAGAGATCTCCTGTCTGCTCTCCTCAGGCACACAGCAGGCGCACACATAGGCAGAAGGGACAGGAAACCCACAGGACTCGTTCCAGCCTGGAAGACCGGCCTGGGCACAGAGAGGGGCGGATGGAATAAGGTCTTTACCGACACACTCCTACCTTGTTACTCTGCTCCGGATGCTGGTCACTCAGGAAATGATCCTCACCATCCTCTCCGAGTCTGCTTGAGTCCTCGTCTTCCTTGCTAGCCAGAAGCTACACGGAGCATGGAATGGTGTGAAAATGCAACCCAAAAATGCGTGCAGCATGAGTTTGTATGAATAAGTTGGTGATGTCTTTTTTAAAAAATGCAAACACAAAAAACAAACCAAAAAAGGGGCAGAGACAAATGCCAAAGCCCTGAAATACAAATTAGCCAAAGTCAGAGTCGCTGGTTCTGGCAAATCACACACGGCTGCCTGAGATCAGGCAAAACTGAAGGACAAATTCCGCGAGAAAGAGCTAAAGCCATCTCCCCTGCCCTCACTCGGCCATCCTTGAGCTTCTGGAAATCAAATGCGCTGTCTGTTGTGCCGCTGCCATCCCGGCTGTCGCTAAATTCACTTTCAGATTATGTAAAAGTAACAAGATTTTGGAAAATAGCTATTGATGGAATTGAAAATATCACATAGTGAGAAAGCGGTAAATGCAATTTATGGTGTGTCCAACTATGCATCGCTTCTCCTATTTAGCACAGGGACGGTCACGCATCTGAGATGGATAGTCCCAGCCACACTGTCATTCGGCTGACGAAAGATCCTCATCGCTAATGAGCAGAGAATCAAACTTGCTTGACGATAACTTTATGGGTTTGAAAATCAAGGCTGGTTATTTATAAAGATTGCATAAATCTGTGATGCTTTAAAGAACTGTAAATCCCAAAGCTTCTGCAGTCTGTCCTCTACAGAATGGACAGTACAGTGTTCTCAACAGGGCCAGATCCCAGCTCTCTGGAAGAGCGAAAATTCTAGTCATAAGATACCCTGATTAACCACATGAAAAAATGAGAGGAAAGAAAGGTAGCCACACCCAGGGAGGCAATCAGTCAAGGCTGCTTCCAAAGCTCAACCAAACCTCATCTCACCAATGAAGCTCTGCGCCAAAGCGTTAAAACCACAAGCCCGATCACCTGGTAGGCAGGCTGTACCCTGGACGTTTCTACGGTTCTGTCTCTATCCTTCGATTTTATGAATCCCTACAGTTAGTCAATTATCCCATAATTTTCCCAGCCCAACTTAAACTTTTCTGATCGCCCTTCTAGAGGAAACACTTGTTTTGGGAAAAAAAAAAAAAACAAACATGAACTGACTTCAGAAAGTCATTATTTTATAGAAAACGTCGCAGGATCAGAACACACTTAACCTCAACATCCTCATCAGGATGAAGCAGAACTGATGAACTGACCCATCAGCTCTCACTCCCAGGTAGTCATCAAGAGAAATGAAAATGCATGTCCACGTAAAGACTTGTACGTGAATGTTCACGTCAGCTTTTATCATATCCAAAAACTGAAACAGTCCAAATGCATAACAACAGCAGGACGAGTAAAGAAACTAATATACCTGTACCACGGAATACTACCTAGCAATAAAAAGGAGCAACAGTTGATTCACGCAACAGCATGGCTGAATCTAAAGGAACGTGCTGAGTGAACGTAGCTTTGCACGGAAGAGAAGACACACTATGGTCCCATTTATATGACGGTCTAGTACAGGCAAAAGTAAAGCAGCTGGGGTAAGGGTAGAAATTGACTAGAAGGGACATGAGCTCTTGACAGAAGTTCCGGTTACACAGGGACAAACTATTTATAAAACTTAGCAAATGTAAACTTACGATTTCTATCTTTATACTTCATTATATGCAAGCTTAACCTTAAAAGGAAAAATAACTATAAACATACGTTGAAGGTAAAGATATACATGTTTAAGTATTTAGGGGGCAGTGTACTGATGTTTGTAATGTACATTATGATTCACCAAAAAGATAAGACGGGGTGATGATGGTGGGAAATGCTAACGATAGAATCCAGGGGGTGAGTATGCGGGTGTCCACTGCAAAGTTCTTTTCACTTTGCTATGTTTGAATTTTTTTTCATACTAAAATCCTGGGAAAAGCCTCTCTCATCTTAGAAAAAGTAAAATTATGTTTTCCCCCCTGATTCACCAAGAGCTACGGCCACTGGGTGCTCTCTTCCTCTCTCCAAGCTTCCTAAAAGAACTCTCCGTCCTCACCTTTGGGGACGTGGCTTTGGCTGCCAACACTTTTCAGAAACTGCTCGTGAAAGGTCCCCAAAGGCCTTCTAATGCAGGAGATCGGACCCTCCTGGCAAGAGGGAGGAGGCCGAAAGGCACTCCTCCCCAACCCTGTGGATCAGAGGAGGGTCTCCCTGAAGTTTAGCCGAGTAAGGTATTGTTAACCCATGTCACTGCAAGCTGAAACAGCAAAAGCATCAAAGTTATTCCTCATTTGCAGAACCACAACCACTCCAGTACTCAATACACTGAAGTAAAAATTAGCTTTCATTTCTCTTTACCTCTGCTGACACGGTCAAAATGAAAAGTAAACTCTCAACCGCCAGCAATGGTTACAAAATTAAATGTTGTGGACACAGAGAAATGTCCCTCACGCCCTATGTGACTTATCAGTTTCCAAAGACTTAGAACAAGAGTCCGGAAAGCCCTGGGAGTCCCTGCAGGTGGGCTCGGTCCAGCACCAGCACCACGTGGAGCAGGGCCCCTCATGCCCCTAGGTGCCCACTGGCTCTTCCTCACTTCCCCATCCTTGTGGCTCCTCTGTCCTCTGCATGTGGCCACTGTCCCCCTCACCGCTGAAACTGCCCAGGTCACAAGCCTGTCCCCACGCCCACACTCACTCCACCTCAGCCCTCACCACGCTCTGCTTCTCAGCGTCCCGTACTCCCTGGGGCAGGGACCGGGTCTGGGTTCAGTTTTAACAGCAATGCCCAGTGCTCAATGAAACATTGCTAAGAAAACAAATAAATGAATAAAGTTTTTTTTTTTTTCAAAATGAGAGTTGGAACCAAAAGGATGACCTCTGGCCTTGCTACTCCAAGTGTGTTGTTCAGAGCAACGGAAGCTTGTTAGAAATGCAGGCTCCCAGGCCCCACGCCAGGCTCACTGAACCAGAATCTTTGTTTTAACAAGATCCCCAGAAAATTCACACGCACACTAACCTTTGGAAGCACTGCCCTTTGGCGCTGTTAAAACAACACTGAACAGAGTCAGAAGAAAATTGTAGTTCCAACTCTGCCACTAACTTACTAAAAAAATACGATTAGAGTCGCTGTGCTTTACATACTGAGTGACTACCACATGCCAGGCTAGGTGCCAAGGGTTTATAAATCAGGCAAAACTCATAACAACTTATGAAGCTAAACTGTGAGAAACCTCCTCCTTTTAATGAAATTAAATCTGCTTCTGACAAACCAAATTGTATTCTGTTACTAATAACAGAATTTAACAAGCGCCTCCTACTTCTGAGTACCGTTTCTGTCCACTAGAGTCACACGGGTCTATTTCTTATTCCAAATGACAGCCTTCCACATATTTGAGTTGAGTTAAATTATGCCCCTTAAATCTATGTTTCCTCTCCACGCCAGAAAGAAAAAAATCATTGGTTTCTAACCGTTCCTAAAAATGACAACAGAAGTAAATAATGACAGCGACCAGCCCTGTCTGAGTGCTTGCACATGTTTCCTGTCCCTCAGGGGACGGGACAGCAGCACGTGTCACACAGCTCGTGGTCTGCAATGCTCACCACCCTGACTGCAGTCTGCTCAAGCCACTCCTGGACGTCAATTCTCAACCACATCTTTCTATAATACATGAATTATAACCAGTAAGTAAACATAAGGACATAGTGGCAACCTCATTAGAGACCTTTTTTTTTTTTTGATGCACTTTAAAACAAAAGGATGCTTGTTCTTGGCCTTTTGGTTGGTTGGCTGGTTTCTCAGTGAACTGCCCGCATGCAGGGAATAAGCACTGAGTGCCCAGCGCGAGGGAGTCCATCCCAGGGCCATCATTTTGAAGTCACACCTGACAAACTGTATCAAGGGCCTCCTACTCTTTACAGCCTTGGTCAAATTAAAAGTTACAGAGGAAGGGGGGGCTTGAAAATAAATTAGATGCCCATTTTACATATATATATATCTGTCTGTATCTGTACTTTTGACCTAGTAATTACTCATCAATACAGTCTAAGAGAAAAAGAGCCTAAACCCAGAAAATGATTTGTGTCCAAAGACACTCATCACATCATTTAAAATAGTGAATCCCTGGAAAAGCGAGGCAGTTAGTTAAACTCGGGGCATTCCTAAGATGGAGCAGGATGTTACAACATACTGGCCACCAGAAAGAAACAGGAGCCAGGACTGTATGTGACTGTATGTGCGCTAATGTTTATGTTCACGTACACAAATAGCAAAGGAAAGAGCCCAAGATGTTAATTAACTGAGTGTTTTAAAGTGACAAGATTAGAGGTCAGGTCTATATTTTCCAAGTTTTAGGAAAGGGTGTGGACCAATTAAAATTGGAGGAAAAATACTGAATCTTAAAAATACAAAATACACTTGCTGTCTTTTTTTTTCCTCTTCTGACGTGTGGGCTCCTGGAGAGCGGGAGTGGGGCAAGCCCCGGCATGGAGAGCCCTGCTGCGCAGAGAAGGCTGTGGACCACGTGAGCATCTCCCACTGGGAGAGCCGCACATGCTCCCGGGGGATGGCAGGCAGCCTCCCCTCGCTGCCGTCCCGCCCTCGCCCCTAACAATCTCCCCTCCCTCTGCTCCAGATTACTATGGGAGCACCATCCTTCCCGTGAGAATCTTCCCATCCCACTCTGGAGGAAGATGGGGGTCCGTGCTACAAAGGACACGGCTCTTCATAGGGCCCTCAAACTGAAGTGCAATGTGATAAATGACCCAGTCTGAACCAGTTGGTGTTGAGACCTCAGAGTAACTCAGAGCGATCTCAGGGAAGAGGAAAAACCCTCTGTTCTCCAAAGGACATAATGGGACACTTCACGGATTTTTTTCAAAGGGCAAATGAACAAGCACACTCGCCATGTGCGACTCCAGCGAAGTAAAGAATGAGCTGCCTATTAAAAATGCCGTCTCGGAGAAAACAAACCAAGAGACCCGTTTCTCCCTAAACGGACTGCAGATATTCTTGGTTTTCAAAATTATCCGGAGCCCTGGAGACTAAGATCAATAATGTTTCCTCTCTCCACGAGTGCAGATGGCCAGAGCGTGGTATAAATACCTTTGGGTGTTTCCCACTTGGAAGGTGGGAGGAGACAGCTTAAGGCTGACAAATCTTTCCCCAGAAATGATGTCCCAAGGAGACCTCCATCTACCCAGCACGCCAACCCCAACCAGGAAGATTCAGGGCAACCAAACGCAAAAGGCCCTCAGCATTTTGTGCTGAGAACAGTCCCAGTCTCCTGAAACTAACCAGCGTAACACAGGCCCGGAGCAAGGCCCCCCGGCAGAGGTCAGACCAAGCAGGGGCTCAAGGGGAGAGACGGCCAGCCCCTCCTCACTGTCACAACGTCGGGGCCCTCCTCCTGTGCGGCACGGGCCAAGAAGAACAGAGAAAATCGGAGACGGCACGTCACAAAGATGAGCAGAGAGCCTCCTCCTTCCCAGGGTGGGCTAACAGGACAGGCCCCGCACCCTCAGTGGGCCCGCAAGCCCGGGAACTGCACGCTCTTCTGTGCAGACACCATGATTTAACTTTCCGTGGCCCTTTCGGGCTTTCAAATGCCACCAGCTGAAAACTCCCAGAGTCCAGAAGCCGGACCTGTGGGCTCCCGGGACCCTGATGGCTTCCTCCCTGTCATGTCCTCCATACATGGCAGAGTGCAGGGGTCCCTGGGCACGTGGGGGAAGAAACAACACACATTCGGTCAAACCCAGGAGTCAGATGCAGTGGGAGCGAGAAGAGGCACAGAGTCCAGAGGGTTAACACAAAAAGTACATGAAAAAGCGCGTCTGCTCGTTTGTTTTCCATGGTAACGGTCCATCAAGGTTGCATCTACACTACCCAAGTTACCTGGGTGGCCTGGCAACTCTCCAGACCCCTAAGGCACCACAGCGATCATCCGGATGCGCTGTCTGCAGCACGGAACCCAGCGCCGGGGCCCAAAGCATCACAAAACATTGAGCGTGTCCACGCAGACATGACCTGAACTCAAGGACGCCTGTGGGCAGTCCTGCTGACCTAAGAGCGCCCTGGGACGCCATCCCCAGCCAAGAGGACTGCAGCAGAGGCCAGGGCAGGGGCGGCCCTGAGAAACGCCAGGGGCCGTTACTTTCTGTGACTGGCACACAACAAGATGGTTCTTCTTACCTCCGTTTGACCTACTGACTCAGACCTGCCATCTCTCGGGAAGCCCGCGCAGGAGAGATCAAAAATGGTTTTCTTCAGGTGCTGGTTGTCCGCATGCAGCTCCTTCACCAGCTGGATAAGCTCGCCGACCTAGGGCACAACAGAGAGGGCTGGCTGCCCAGGGGCCCACTTCCGCCTCCCAGGGCCAGGGCCTACCGAGCAGACTCCCCAGCATCCCAGGCCTGGAGAATCAGGCGGCCTGACTCCCGTCTTCAGACCACCACTAGCATTTCTGTTCTCTAACCCCAGAGCCACCACTGGAAGGCACAGGGCCCCCAGGCAAGCTGCCTCATCCAAGCCTCCATTCCCACATCTGCAGAATGGGTCACGGAGAGAACTGACAACGACCGTGGTCACACAGCACCAGAGCCTCCGGCCCCGTCGAAGCGCTCCGTCAATGACAGCCAGCATCATCTCTGCCTTGTACTTGAGAATCTGGAGGAAGAGCTCTAGCGACAGAAATTTCTCAGACTGCACCAGAGCCTCATCTTACAGCATTTAACTTCTCTTTCTCTGCCTCTCCAGCAACGTCAGTAATAACAACAGTCTTCGATTACAAAGTGAGTTTCAGCTCCTAAAATACTCCCACAAGCTTGAGTCAGTCACTCCTTACAAAAACCCTAAGGAGGTGGACAGGCTTGTGAGATTCTCCCCATTTTACAGTGTGAAGCCCAAGATACAAAGAAGTTCCCCACCCGAGGTCCCCCAGCTGGGGTGCCTGAAGAATTAAATGACACATAAAAACAGCCAAGCACCTGGTCATGTGAGAAAGGGCAGCTGCCCCCACAGGGACAGAGCCAAGCCCGGAGCTGAGACTCCCAGTCCAGTGCTCCTCCTTCAGGCACAGGTCTTGCTGGGCCAGGTACTTAAGCAACTGAACATCACATTCGATCCCTGCAAGCTTCAAACCCCAGTGGCCACTAATTTTCCAAACACTTCCTAATGGGGTCATCATTAGCCCCTCAAACAAAGTGGGAAAGCTCACTCTCACCGCACACAGGTGTCCGCCGCACCCAAACACCTACACAAACTGGACCCAGCCATCAAGGAGGTTACAGTGGGAAGAACTAAACATTTTGATTCTGTAAACATTCGTAAAGTGCCAACCAAGTGAACTAGCTCCTGCCCTTAACACAGCCATTGTAGGTACAAGCAGCAGCTACTATCATCTGTCTTTCTCTCCTTCAAAAACTAACGGGGTGCAGGTATAGCTCAGTGGTAGGGCACGTGCTTAGCATGCACGAGGTCCTGGGTTCAATCCCCAGTACCTCCATTAAAAAAAAAAAAACCTGACAGATGCCTCAATGCTCCTTGCTCCACTCCTTTGAAATGCCGAAATTTCCATTGTTCTCCTTTCTATGTCTTCTGTACCTTACATTTTTTTTTCTCTCTCTCTGCTGAGACAGCCTTCCAACTATAAAAACTCCTATTCATCCTCCAAAACCCAATTCAGGCCTCATTTCTGTTGAGAAGCTTCCTCTGACCAAGCGAGTACCTGCCAGCCCCTCGACAGTTAACTCTCCTTCTCTGCTACCCCTGAACCTTGCACATCTGCCTATTACAGCCACCCTGGTAACACATACTGCCATGCCTGTTCACCAGAATGTGAATTATTCCAAGACAGAAACTGAATCTGTCATACAGGGATGATAATTTTATAATAAATCAGTGTCCTCTGAGCTCACACTTCCTATTCTTATCAATGGCTCTTAGAACCTTGAAATACTAAACCCTCTAAACCACACCAATGATCAACAGATTGAAAAACCTTTACAGTTTTGAAGATTTATTGATCAAACCTGAACCTTTCTTCTTTCAAAAAGCATCTATTAACTCCCACTATGTGTGCCAGGTAGTGGGAAATCAAAAATAAATAAGATACACTCACTCACTATACGATGTTCACAGACTACTGGAGATACAGAATAGCCAGAAAATCACAAATCGGTCTGAGAAAAACATCAACACAATTAGGTACAAGAAGAGAGGAGAATGACCCGCGTGAAAGGTGGCTCCCTCTCTGGGGGGACAGAGAGTGTTTCCTAGAGGTGACGGAGCCTTGCTGGACGCAGGAGCCTGGAGAGGAGGGTAGCAGGGAGGGGGAGGGCACACCACGTCACGTCATGGACAGAGAAGGAACAGAGACAGGCAGGGAGGGAAGAGAGGAGGCGAGAGGGGCTCTCAGCATGTTACACCTCTGATCAGAAGCCTGTGAGGCAACAAATACCCAACAGAGCACTGACAGTTAACAGGTCAGTACCTTCTTCTTAAGTTCTTCTTGAGAAAAATGTTCCACTTGAAACCGGTTGTGCTCTTCAAGGCAAATACTCAGATATGATGTTTGATCGCTATAAAATGAAAACGGTTCTTCTGCACAAAAAAAAAGTGGGGAGAAGGAGAAAAAGATCATCAGAAATAGATCCTCCAGAGCCCAGCCCCAGTGCAGTGCACCTAAGGCAGTCTGAACTGGGTGGGGAGGCTGGATTGGGGTGCAAGGACACATGGGGGGTTGACTGCACCACCTCTGGAGCAACAGGAATTTCCCCCTTTCTCTACAGGCTGAGATCACAGTGTCTGGTTTCACCATGGGCTGCAGGCATTCGCTGCGGCCAACTCTGAATTATAATTTGCATATCGAGTGTTGTGTCTGGAGACCATTCTGAGTGGCACAAGTGAACGATGATATCAGTTTCAATGAGGGAGTGATTCTGCTTAGGTGAGAACGCAGGAAAATTAGCTGTGACCCTCAAGGGTAGAACTCAAGGGAAATCAAAAGTGCCTGATCTATTTTTATTGGCCCCAGAGCCCTCCATGGGAGCAAGCGGAAATGCCTGCTAGATGTAAGAGAAGGGAGCCTTTGGTCACCCAGGAAGGGTCCGCGTCCTCTACAGCAGAGGTCATGTCCTAGCAGGGAGCCGAGGCGCAGAGAAGGGCCGAGCCCCTGACCCCGTGAGGCCCATCTACAAGCAGACCACACTGCACACGTGCGGGGAAGAGCTGACACACTTAACGTACTGCTCAGAGCTGGGCGTCAAAGACGTCCTGACTCCAATCTGGCTAAATCAACCCTCACCCCCATGGCCAAGCCTCAGTGTCTGCATCTGTAATGTGAAAGTCAACACTCTACCCAATGGGATGACTGCCAGGATCAGAGACGAGAAGTTAAGTGTCTCGTACACAGCAGGTGCTCAAAAAATACCAAACCTACCACAGCTATGATTAAGTTTTAGCATATGCGACAGCACCAGGCTAGAGACAGGGGAAGAAGAGACCAACCCAGAAAGACTCTGAGGGGCTTGGGTTCTAACGAGGGAGAGGTCAAAGACTGCTGCCCTCAAATGAACTTACATATAAAACAGAACAGACTCACAGACATAGAATACAGACTTGTGGTTGCCAGACGGGAGGGGGGATGGGAAGGGATAGACTGGGGGTTTGAGATTTGCAGCTACTGGGCTGGTATATATAAAATAAACAAGTTTACACTGTATAGCACAGGGAAATATAGTCAATATCTTGCAGTAGCTTACGGTGAAAAAGAATATGAAAATGAATATATGTATATTCATGTATGACTGAAGCATTGTGCTGCACACCAGAAATTGACACAACTTTGTAAACTGAATATACCTCAATAAAAAATCATAAATTTAAAATAAAATAAATAAAATAAAAAAGGCTGCTGTCCCGAGCAGAGCAATGCGCACACCACGGGACCCTCCCCACCTGAACCCACTCGCGGTGGTGACAACGGGACAAGCCCCGCTACTGCAAGAAACAGCAGTCTCACCCCCATGTGTCTGTCTGCGTAGCCGGGCTCTGCAGAGGGCACCTCGTTTTGTGCCATGAGGGCTGTTAAACCAGAGAATGGGGGACGCAAGGGCCCGAATCTACCTGGAGGTGGAAGTATCAAATGATGGCAGAACAGCACAGGGGCGGCCAGGAGGCCAGGCTGCGGCGGACCCCCCACACAAGTCACACACCGCGCTCGGCCCTTCTACCCTAGCCAGACGGACGCAGACCAGGAGGGCCGGCGATCTACACCGGCACCACAAAGAAGGATCCCCGGCTGAGCTCCCATGGGGGCCCCTCCTCCTGAAGTGTTAGGACTCTCTTAGGGCTCAGCCGAGGCCCTCCAAGTGGAAGCCCCAACGGGAAGTGCGTCCAAGAGCGCATGTTACCTTCCCGCCGCCGGATGTCGCTGAGCTGCTCCTCCAGGGCCTTGCGCAGATGCCGACAGGCCAGCACGTCCCGCTGCAGCCGCTTCCGCAGGACCAAGATGTTGTTCAACTCAGCCTGCAGGCTGTTGACACTTGGTGAAACAAGACACCAGAATTTTAAAGCAGACCTACTTATGCTTTAAGATACCAAGCCCAGAGAGTCTGCATCTGCATTTTATGTCATTTGTGGGGGTTTTCTGGTTCTACGAATAAATTTTTGTTTCTAGAAAATTTTAAAATATAAAAGGACTAGAAGAGCAAAAATTACTACGACCCCACTCCCAATGAACACACAGCAGACTCTATTTCCTCCCAGTCTCTTTGCCTGAGTATTTTTACGAGGCTGAAATAATACTGGACACATGATAATGAATGGTGAGTTCCTCATTTAAATATTTCCCTATGTTTTTGGAAATGATTTGCAAACATCAGCTTTAATGACTATATAATATATAATCGAGTGAATGTCCCGCCATTTACTTTAATTCATCCCCTATTAGTGAACATTTGGGTCATTTCCAAGTTTTTGCTACAGGCGTAGCTAGGTGGAAATAATTTAATTCCCCAGAATGCTTCTCTGGAACAAGGCCTTGCCTGGGCTTGGGTATGGAAGGACGGCTCTCCACAGAAGAGAAGGTGACAAGGAAAGCATCTGCTTGTGTCACCCTTAAAAGAGGTGGCACTGGAGGTAAGGGCTAGGGGCAGGAGGGACAAGAAAAAAAGACAGGGAGGAGAGAGAGAGTTAATCACTGGAGGGAGAGAAGGACCAATTTAGGGGCCAAGAAAGAACTCTAAGTGCTGGGCTAGCCACTCACAAACGCACAGTAGAATGCGCTTTTATCTGAGGGCGTGGGGGAGTCGAGTTTCACATCTGGGTCAGTGTAACACGTAACACGGTGCTGACCTGTACAAAAAGCTTGCATGAAACCAGTAACCCAGAACTCAGAGGAGGCCGTGAAAAGGCACACCTTCCAGAATCTGCGTTAATCCGGCGAGTACTGTACAACAGACCTGTGTCCAGTGATGGAACTGTTCCGTATCTGTGCCGTTGAATACAGTCCCCACTAGTTGAATGGGCCTACAGAGCATTTGAAATGTGGCTAACAGACTGACAAACTGAATGCTTCATTTTTTTCCTGTAAATTTGTCTGGTCACATGGCTAGTGGCTACTGAACTGGGCAGAGCAGATCCACAAGCAGGGCTCCGGACTCCTGACGTGCACATGGCAGGGATCTGAATCAACTACACGCAGCTCTCAGAGGAACAGAGACTCCAGCCCACACTGGAATAACATAAATAAGGCTCCACTGAAAATCTCTCTGCCTGAAGCTTTGTTTCACACTCAGGCTAGTTTCTTAACACGGAGTCCCAGCAGTGTAATTACTGGGTCAAAGTATATGAACTGTTTTTTTGAGATGACCAAAAAGCATAAACAAATCAGAAAGGCTCCTCTTTAGAACACCAAGAAACGGACCACTCTGTCCAGCATCTGGCCTGTATTACCCCCTGGGAGGGTCCGTCAACACTCGGAAACTGTCTTTAAAAATTTATGAATATGTGGACTTTTTTAGGGACAGACCCATAAGTTTTCATCAGATTGTTCAAAGGGGGTCCACAGCCCACAAACGGTTAGGAGCTATCGCTCTAAGAAATGTGTGCCTCAGACTCAAGCCCCACTTTCCCTTCAGAGATTCCTTCCGGCTCCAACCATCGAGCTACAGACATAAATCAACATATATTGGAAGGAAAATAAACCATTATGTCTAATCTTCTATGCTCGCTGCTTTGAAGATGGTTCATTGTGAAGCAGCCTTCCTGCAAGGGAAAGGGCCCTCCGAGCAACTTGTACCTCGTTCCATTTCAAGACAATCATAATGATCAATTTGTAAGGCTGATGGAAAACCTTACCGAGGTGTCACAGCACAGCACTCGCTTGGATGCGGTCGTGCTGGAGACACATTTAACCGGGGGAAAAAAGGAGATTGTTTCAGCGAAGCTCCCGCGATTAGGGCTGGGGTAAACTGACGGCTTCACTCTCTCTTCCATCTTCTGACAGGGTGAAAAGTACACAGCTGCTGTTCCTGTGTCTGTCATTTATGTTTCCCCAACTACAGGATCTCTGTAAGGTGTGAGGAGTCGGTGGAACAAAAGGGGCTTCGCTCAGAAAGAGATGACAGCCCTGCACCCTCCTCCCTCTGGAGTGTCGCAGGGGAGGAGTCGGAGGATCTGGGCTCCAACAGCGCCCCAGGACCTCGGGCAGGCGGCTGAACTGCCCGAGCCCTGCTACTCTCATCCGGGAGAAGGGGATAATGCCTGCCCTTCAAAGTTGTTCTGAGAATTAAATGAGATGTTACAAGGAAGGAACTTAGCACAGTGCCCGACACATACAAGAAGCTCAACAGACATCCCTTCCTTCCTTCCTAACATCTCCCAACAAAAGATATTTATAAGCCAGACTTACTGATACTCGTGAGTCACAGCAATGACTTTCATCTGGAGATGACTCAAGTTCCCCCAGGAGGCGCTGGGCATCTCTAGAGATGCAGTTGGTTGTCACACCTGGGGCAGGGGCGGGTGCTATGCCAGGGAGTGGTAAAAGCCAGCGATGTGGTTGAACACCCCACAATGTATGAGACAGCCACTCACGACAAAAAAATCATCTAGCCCCAAAGCGCAGGAATGCCGAGGCTCAGACAGTCTGAGTCACAGGCAAGTAGAACTGCCCTAGTCCTCAAGATGACAGGTGTCTCAGTAGGGCCGGAGCTCAGGAACCAGGGAGCTGTGAGCACTGAGAACTCCTAACTGCAGAAGCTTGGGTAATACCCTTAACATCTCCGAGAGCGGATTTCCACTCCTGTGATACGGGGCTGAAGAGTCGCTGTGAGGAATGACAGTAAGGTGAAAGGGCCAGGCACAGAGATGCCCACGGCCACTTCCCTTCCTCCCTGCCCTCCCTTTCCAACACTAGTTACAAGGACGTCCTACGTCTCCTGAGTCAGTCACCTGTTTCCGCCAGTCTCCAGAGAGTGGGCAGTGCTGGAGTAACGCAGGGGTGCTCCACCTGCCTCAGCCCACACTTCCGTCCCCCGGAAATGGCAAGGTCTGAGGACTCAAAACCCTCTCCAAGCTGAGTTTTATGATATTGAGGCATATGGAAGCGTTTCACATTGTTTTTAGTCTTAGTAAGTGTTATGGTTTATTGAGTGCTTACGATGTGCCAGGCAGAATTAGGACTTCACACATCGTCATCTTGTTTTAACACCCTGTGAGGCAGGCGGGGAGGCAGGCAGACAGGCAGAGGGGCGGCTAGGTCGGCAGCAGGCCAACCTCAACTGCACAGACACGCACATGGAGGCTCAGGGTGAAAGGGGACTGACCCAGGAGCTCAGAGCTGCTGAACAGCAGAGCTGCGATCGGGACCCAGGCCTGTCTCACCCTAAATGTACTTCCACTCTGAAAATGAACAGGAAACCTTTTAAGCATCCCTGTTAGTCATGGCCCGGACCTGCCTTGGTCCCGTCCACATTTTTCTTCATTAAGGAAGAGCCTGTGAAACTCAGAGCCGCCCTCCATGACGCTGAGAAGGCTGGACCGCGGCGCCATCGGCCCACAGGGCCTCCCAGTGCCCAGAGTCAAACAGGGCTCCCATCCCGAGAAGCTGCACAATTAACCCCACTTCACCCCCGCTCTGCCTTTGAGTTTCCCAGCACTACTCAGCCCCTCCCCTGAGTAAAGATGACAAGCAGCAGAGGCTTCTTGAAAAAGCCCACTTTCGTGAGCGATGCCACTCCCGGAAGTTCATCAGCATGTTTTAATTTTCTTAAAACTCGTTTCAGATTTTAAAAACCTGAAAATTATCTCATAACTTAGAAGTGTTGGGGGGCTGTGGGGGACTTCCATCCCCTGAACATTTCCTGAGTGCCCGCTCCTTACCAGCCCTGGTGACAGGCACTGGGAAGTGCAGGCAGCAAGACACAGCCCTGCTCTAGGGGCGCCCACGGTCCAGGCAGCAAGACAGGAGCCCTGCCCCCGGGGCACCCACAGTCCAGGCCACACCAGACAAGTAACAAAGGGAGGTAAGGGAAATGGTGAGGGCAGACGAATGGGGGGGAGCGGTGACAATTGCCCTGGGGACTAGTGTGGGCCTCCTGACGAGGGGACCCTAGAGAAGAATTCTCAAGGACCAGTGGGAGGCAAAGCAGGATGTGGACACCCATCCAAAGGCAGAGGCAGGAAATACACAGCTCAGGGAACAGTGAGGGCTCCAGTACCGCTGGAGTGAAGGGCAGAAGAGGAGTGCTGAGTGGTGGATTTTCTTAGCTTTTTATTATGGAAAATTTGAGACATATACAAACGAAGACAAATTAATATAATGAGCCCCTCTCCGGCCCACACCCCCCCGACCCGAGCCCTGAGAACCAGGGAGCCATGGCCAGTCTTGTTCCATCCGTGTCCCTGCCCACTTCCTCCTCATCTGTGTAGTTTTGAAATGAACCCCAGACATCATGGCCATTCACCTGTAGCCATCCCAGTGTGTAGAGAGACGGCATTTCCCTGGGAGAAATCAGTGCTGTGGACACAGAGCGGGGGCCTGAGCAAGACCACTAGCCCATTATCAGCTTTCCTATTACACTCACTGGCCCCAAGTCATCTCAGCAGTTCTGTAAAGACACAAGTCACTCCACGACCGAGAGACAGGTTTGAGTACTGTCACTCACCGCCTGTGTGACTTTGGACAAGTCACTTACCTTCTCCGAGTTTTCACGACCTTATGGAAAACAGATGATAGTATCACTTAGCTCACAGAACAGCCGTGAGGGTAATATGAGGTAATACACAGAGATGCTTTCTAAATCTATAAAAAAGCATCATTAAAATCCGAGTGATTACTATTACAGTATGTTTATCCTACGCTTGTTACCAAAAATTAGACAATTCTTGCTAGAAAATAAATATATCTGATTTAAATAAGGCAATCACCATCCAAGCACTTAAAGCTTCCAGGGCAAAGTGGAAGGGATTTGCTGCCTCAGAAACTACCAGCATTTATTCAAAATATGTGTGTGCATGTACATGTGTGATGTCCACACGGAGACCCTTACCTGTCTGAGTCCTGCAGAGATTTTACCAGATGTGTATAGATGTCTCGCTCTTTCTTCAAGACCTGAATCAGCTCTTCATAGCCTAATTGTTGCTTTTCCTGGAAAGGACAATGGGCATCTGACATTAAGAGAAGAATTTTTAAATAGCACATCCTTACGTTATGCAAACCTACATGGATAGTTCTGATTTATAAATCCAAACGAAGGTGGTCCCCTGTGCCAGGCTCCGATCAGGCCACAGTCAGAGAGCACCACCTGCAGGGGGAGCAGGGGATGACTGTCCATCGCTCACCTCAGCAGAAAGCTGAGCACCGTGTTCCCGACACTAAACAGGCCGCTATAAAACAATGACAACTGGTGGGAGGAGGGGTAAATCAGGCGTTCGGGATTAGCAGATACACACCACTATACATAAAAGAGATAAAGAACAAAGACCTACTGTTTAGCATAGGGAACTACATCCAATATCTTACCATAACCCACAGCAGGAAAGAATCTGAACAAGTATATATATGTGTATACATACACATACACATAAATTGAAATCACTTTGCTGTACATCTGAAACTAACACAACATTGTAAATCAACTATACTTCAATTTAAAAAAATTCTCCCAAAAAAGCCCCATCACCATCATTAACTGATTTGAAACTGCCACCCATCAGGACTGCTGGTCATGGTTTTCGCGACACTACAAAGAATGCCCTCCCACACTTGTTCTTGCTCCAAAGAAAGGAAACCTATAAACCAAAACCTGACAAGTATTAGGGACAAGGGACTTACATTAAAACGGAAGGGGTTAAGTGAGTCACGCTTTAAAGGCACCCTGAACAGAGTGACGCTAAAGAGATCTTAGGTGGGTCTCTCCCACTTACTAGCTGTGTGACCTCCACTAACCAGCTTAACACCCTCTGTGAGGTTCGGGCTCCTCATTTACAGGGTGGGGGTATAGCTTTGTGAATCAGCAATCACAGATGTGAAGGTTTTTTCATGGTTCAAATTGTGGCTCTGTCACTTCCCAGTTTGGGGACCTCGGGAAGGTACTTACTAGAGCCTTGGTATTTCTACCTGTACAATGGTGAAGAGCCATCACCTCATTTTGTTACAGAACAGATGAAAGTTAAATTGCGTATTGTAAGGAACCAAGGAACCAAGGATCCCGGGGGGAATGGCTAATTCCAGTATCAGGGAATGGAAAGTCAAAAACCATCCAGGTCTACAGCATTTTGTCATGCCAGAAAATAAGGAAGTGCTTAAATAAAGGAACATGGTCAAAAGGATACAGGAGCCGGTTTGAAAAGGCCAAATCTGGGACAATTTGAGCATCAAAATAAATAATGACAGTAACAGATTATAACCTACTGAGTACCACAGAAATGCATGAGTCCACACGGACAGATGGGAAGAAGAGTGGGCCTTTCTTTACAGCAGAACAACTAATAAATGTAGAAGGAATAATGGAATTAGAAGAATCACCATTTGCTAACCACCATGGTAATAAATAATTCAACCAAGAAACATAAAAGGATGCTAAAACCAATGGGTGAAAGTTTGAAGATCAGAGTATTTACATAGACTCAAAATACCTCCCCCCAAATACTTATTAATTACAAAGGAAAAGGCGGAACTGTATAGTCAAGACATCAGGCAGACACCACCTTCATAAAGCTATCCAAGTCAGCATGGCCGGTAATGGGACAGATCTAAGCCAAGTGCCATCAGACAGGACATGATGAGAACACGACCTGGCCCCTGGGATGCTTCTGCCAAAGATGCCTCGCCTGAATCCAGTCACCAAGAAGCACCAGACAGACTCATCTGAAGGATGCTTGACAATATAACTGGCCTGGACGCTTCAGGAGCATCAGGGCCATGAAAGTCCAGGAAAGACTAAAGACTATTAAGCGCAACATGCATCCTGAACTGGATCCTTCTGCTACGGAGGGCATCATGGGACAACTGGTGAGATGGGAATGAGTCTGAGGATTCGGTGGCAGTGATGGGTCCCTGCTGCCTCCCTGGAGGTGATGGCTGTGCTGTGTTATACAGGGGGGTGTCTCTGCTTGCAGGAGACACACACTCAAGTACACAGCTTCACGTGGGCAGCTTACTCTCAGGTGGCTCAGGACAAGTAAAATCCTTTATTCTTGGAACTTGCCCGTAAGTTTCTTTTCATGAAGAAAATGGTAAAATAAATAAGTGAACATGTGCAGAACACCTGGCATGGTGCCTGGCACCGACTAGATGCTCCCTGATGCTGGAAATACACTCAGTTAGTGGAGAGACTGGGGCTGCAAGCAGCCCTTGGGTTTCACAGGGACTCAGGCTTTCTCAGATAACCACCTAGGACAGGGGTCCTCACCCTGATGAAAATTCAAATATGAATGGGGTGGGTGGGAGTTCCATCTCTATTTCCGCTAAGCTCCATCTGAAATTCAGCATCCCCTTCAATCGTGAGTTGAAGGACCACTGCTACTGCTACCTGCTACAAACCACAGGACAGTTTTCCTGTGACTCTGTCATCCAAAGAAATACTGTTACTTTGTATATGTTGCAAATACCTCAAAACATTTAATCTTATCGCTACTTCAAAACTATAGTAGACGCTATGTTCACCACTAGATCTTGATATTTTTAACGCATTAATAAAGCACCATTTCTACAGCCTAATTCTTTATATTTTGATAGCCAAATTTCAAAACAACTGGTTTCCTTTGTAAGCATGTGCACGTACTTTATGCATTTAAATACTTTTCCGGGGAAGAGGTCCTTGGTTCCAGTAGACGATCAGAGGGATGCAGAGGGCGAAAAAGGTTCCGAGTCCTCGCCCTAGGAGACCGCTGCTGAGCTGAGCTTCTAGCCCTGAGCAAAACGAGGCAAAGGCACCCCTGCCAATTAAGGGATTTAAATGCTAAACCACCAGTTTGGTCGTGAGGAGTTAGTCACCCACACTGTGAGAAATGTCAGGCCCTTTTGTAAATCACGCCACATGTCACTGGCACAAGGTGCTCCCACCTGCCTTCCGTGCACAGTAAGCGTCAGCCCCCACCTGTACACACCGTGCGTGCAGACAGAGGGTCCCAGAGCAGCGCCTGGCGGGGAATCCAATCGGGTATCAAGACAGCCACTGTGCTAAGTGCTTTCCAGCATTTTCTCATTTAATCCTCGAACCCCAATGAGCTCTGGCATTACCACTCTCCCCGTCTTGGTGATGAGGGAACTGGGACGCAGAGGACCAATGGATGCCCAAGGTCAGGACGGTGAGGCAGGGTGTGGATCCAGGCAGCCAGGTTCCAGGACCTGCACTCTTCAGGCCACCCATGAACGTGCCACGGTGGACGCAAAGCACTGGGCGCTTGACCAAGGTAACAGGGCCACTGTCAGCCACGTAAAAGCCAGCCAACAGTGACGATGAAAATAAGAAAACCTAGTGCTTCTTGAGAATCTACCATGAGAGGCAGTCATGGTTAACAGTGTGTGACCTTATAGGCTGTGTGACCTTGTACAGGTCAACCTCTCTGTGCTTCAGTATCCTCAGCTATAAACAGAGGTAATAATTCTAACACATCTCACAGGGTTGTTAGAGATTAACTAAGCTAATCTATACAAAATCCTCAGAACGATGCTTGACGTGGCGGAAACACATGGTAAGTGTCGGCCCTAACTCCATTCCTCTGCACCAGTGCTCCGCCAGGTGCTTTACACAGATCACCCCTAATCCCAACGGACACCCAGAGGTGTACTGAGCTTCCCACTTTCCACAAGAATCAAGCGATTCTCTGAGAAAACTGAGTTGGGTCCACTCAGCTAATAACTGGCAGTCAGAATTTGTGCATAGGTACGTAACTTCAAAGCCAACCAAGAAGGACTAGGAAAAAAGATGAATAAATACGGACCCTGGTGGATGGGGCAGACTCCCAGTGAGGGCGCAAGCACCCAGCAAAAGAAATCCCGACCCTGAGGACCCCGTGTCTTACTAGATCGCCAAGGGCCTGGCCTGAAGCCCTAAAGGACCGTCCGCTGTGGTCGGTGTGGGGCCTGGGTGCCCAGCTCAGCTCCCCTCCTCTCCTTTCGGGCAGCTATTCCAACCGTCACCAGGTTTTTCAGGTCACTGCTCACCTCGACCCCCTCCCTCCACCTGCCAGCCTGCCACACCTCCGCTTGCTCTCCTGCCCTCCCATCTCCGTAGGCCTGGGAAAGCCTCCGCCCGAGCTCCCGGGGGAAACTCCTCCGTCCTCCTTGGAGACCATGCTCCATCGGTCGCCCCTCGCCAGGACACTCCAGGGAACCTCACCAGAATTCTCAGCAGGCAGCCTGCCCTCCTCCGGCCCCTCAGCACCCTGCTCTACCTTCACCCAGAGCTCAGGCACCAACCACCTGTTTCCAGGCTGGGGGACCCCCTCTAGGCAGCAGCGTCCCGAGCCAGGCACCGTGCTTGGCACAGATCAAATGCTGCCACAAATCCTGGCTGAAACGATGACTGAAAAGGTAAGAAGGGAACACGGGGACCGACGTGAATCTTAAGAGCAGAGATTCCCGTGGAAATTTTGCATAATGGAAGTCAGAGTGAGTCAGCGTCTTCTAGAAGCAAACTGCTCACCCATGTTAAACAAATGAACTCTTCGGAGCCATTTGGGTCCCCTTTCATCAGTCACCTATTCCCCTGCATTGAATCATGCCCCGTTAGAATGAAGTCACTAGGCTCCCTCAGCAGAGCTGACAAATCAGTGGATCCCCTCGGCGCAGGGGCAGAGGGCCAGGCTGCCCAGTGGGGGGTGGCGAGAAGCACCGGCTCAGCCAGAGCAAGCCACCCCCACCCTCCACCCCAACTCCGCCCCTCCCAACAAGGTGGAGCCCCAGAGTCGACGACTTCTGCTCTCCATGGGGCTGACACAGTTTCACCACCCCTGCAAGACGCGGCTCCTCAACTCCCCCTTGGCATCTGTGAGGACCTCTAGTGTGTTCCAGCAATCACGCCCTTTTACTGTCATTGTTTTGCTCAAACTACTCAACGCTGGATTCTACAGCTTGGAATCAAAAGAACTAACACCCTTACACTATTTCCCATCCTCTCAAGAGGCCAGCATGTAATTTCCCATTTTACAGATTAGGAAGGTGAGTTTCAGAGAGACTAGGTGAGGAGGGGAAGGTATATAGCTCAGTGGTAGAGCGCATGCTTAGCATGCACAAGGTCCTGGGTTCAATCCCCAGTACTTCCATTAAAATAAATAAATAAACTCAACTACTTCCCCAACACCCCCCCCCCAAAAAAAACCTGCATCAGAGAGACTAGGTGACTTTCCCAAGGTCACAAAGCCAATAAGGAGCAGAACCAACATTCTGACCCCAAAGTCCAGACATTTTCTACCCTACCAGAGTTTCTTCAATGACTTGAAGGAAGCACATGTAATGGGTAGACCACAGCCTGAAGAGGCAGCAGATACATAAAGAGAAAGCTTAATGACTCACTTCTTGGTAATCAGGGCAATTTAGTGGCCTGGTGGATAGACGGTCTACCTCAGTAGCTATGTCACAGCTCTGTAACAAAGACATTTATTTCAATACTCGGGAAATTCAGCAGCGATGTCCCAACCATGTCAATAGCCAAGCTATAAATCTCTGGCTGCAGCAAGTTAAATATGGTCAGTGTGTTTTACTCTCTGTTCTTCAATTCCCTGATCATCCAGCATTAATTCTCAGGATCACACATGATTAGAAGGAAAACAGACTGCCCCGAGTCAATGGAGACATCATCACAGCCTCGAGTTCTTTGTAGAAATGGGCAGAGGATAAACCCTAAGTCAACACAAAGCAGCCAAGGGCACAGCAGAAGAAATCCAGGTTTTCTACAAAGAAAAGAACTACAATCTGAAAAGTCTACCTGTACGCTGCAACAGTTGGGGTTTCTTAAACTGACACCTAGAAATTTTCAGTTCCTAAAGGATCATTTTATAATCTTTTAGCCACCATTTGCAGTTACTTGCATACAACAGAATTAAAACCTTTGCTCAAATATGTAGGCATTTTGCACAGTCGTTTAAATGTTGCCAGGATCTGAAATATAACTATAATGCCCATGGAATGACTTTATACTTATGGTTCCATGAAGTACAGAAACCAGCCAGCAAAGTGGTGCTGATGATCAAACTAGCAAGGGGGAATTTTAAAGCACTCAGCCTGTTCAACGAATTTAGCAACGTTTTGTTCAACATTTAAACACTTTTTACATGCCTAAAACATGATTCAAAATAGTGAAGTTTAACTAAATGTATTCAAATTAGTGACGATCTGTCCATCTGAAAAAAAACCTATGGGCTGCTATCTTGTTTCAAAACAGACTGTGCTGGATTACGGGTTAATATGCATCTTAATATGCAGCTAAATTTGATCAAAATTAAGTAACTACGAGCAAGTTAGAATCACAAAATATTAGCCCTCTGAGATAACAGTTATCAACTTGCTCGAGGTTGCTTAAGTGAAGGACAGAGCCAAAAGAGGGATCCAGGCCTCCACACTTTCAATGGCCCAGCCCAAGGGCCAAGTCCATGATGACGTTCTTAGTCAAGAGAAGCAGCAAAACGCACATCCACAAATGGTGAGAGTTAAGGAGGAGCTCCTACTGCTCAGCCAACGGTGCCCTCCAGGGCCAGGGCTGAACCTGAGCAGATACACAGTGCAATGCCTGGTACCGGTGCCGTAATACTGAAATATCTCTACATCAGTTGTAAAATAACCCTTGATCCACCCACCCCAACCACCGCAGCCGCTCTCCAAGACCCAGGAAGCACAGGGCTGGCGGCTGACACACGGGCGGGCCTCCAGGACCCCCCTCCCGCCCCACCGCCCGAGTCTATTCTGATGGATGTGCCCAGGCTGCACTGCTTGTTGGTTATTTTGAGAATCACCCTTCGCAAAAACCGTAAGTCAGGATCAGAGTCATTCATCAGGGAACTAATTTGCGTAAGAATTCTCTGTGTTCTGAATGTATGAACTTAATTAAGCCAGGCTAAAAAACCAAAATGAAATAAAACTTGGCCCACAGTGAACTCCTTTCCTTTCCCATGTCTGGTGGCCTGGCTGCATGATATGCAAGCTAAAGGTCAGAACAATCCATATGCATGTCCGCAGACCAATGTAACATGCCTTCACTCAGGAAACACCCACCGAGCCGGGCACCGGGCGGCCGCTGGGGTTCAGATACGAACACCGGCTCCCTTCCCTTGAGGTGCCTGCCCACGTGCGCAGGGGCTCGAGAGAAGGGCAGCAGTAAGGGCGCCTGAGAACATCGACACAGGGACCCAGGGCTACAGCGGATGGGCGTGCAGAGTGCCGAGCACCAGGGAGGACGAGGGGACGGTGCTCTCGGCAGGTCACAGAGAAGATGACACCAGAGTGACACCTCAGGGGTGTTCAGCAGTCACCAGGCAAACATGGGAGAAAAAGGCAAAGGCACAGAGAGGTACAAACACGGCGTTTCCGGAAACCTGCGGTCTAAGTGAGCTGTTGTTGAGATGCTGGGGAATGGCGGACGGGAGAACAGGAAGGGCCTGCGGTACCATTTCCGCGTGCATCTGAACTGGAAAAGGTTCTTACCTCCCGATCACACCGTTCTTGAGAGGTAAGCCCTCGGGGAGCCTAATACGAGGCTCCTGTTTTAACGAGCTGGGATTTCTCCGTTTCCTGTGTGGCGCGAATACTAACACTCAGCTGAAGGATACTAACCTGGACAGTGGAAAGGCTGAGAACCCCTCCTCTACCTGTTGTAAAAGCTCAGTCACCAGCAAGAAGGCATTAGAGGAACTTCAGATCAAAGAAGTTATCAGATATGTCAGGAAAGAATACGAGCTTGCATGTGAACGTCCGGCCTCAGCCCCGCTCACCTCAGAGAAGATGGTTTCGCTGCCTGGTGACTGAGGGGGGCACTTCTCGGTGATGAGGTCTTCACTCCCCAGCTCAAGATCCTCCACCGTCGTTAAGTAGTGGTTCTGAGGTATTACTTCCAAGCCTTTTTCAGTGAATTTCTAAGGAAACAAAACAAATCATAAGGAAGTTTTCATCAAGGAAGAAATATTAAGAGAGGGTCCCAAACTCTTCAAGGGGAGATGTACTTTTTTTCACAAAACCCATATGGCCTCCAAATAATTTCCATCATCCCCAAATATCAGGCAGTTACAAACTGTAATGCAACCCATTTGTGCGTTACTACAACTAGGAAGCCAGCACGCCATGTGGCCGCGGCAAGGATGGTGGCTGGCACTGCATCCCCTCCCTCTGGCCACCACTGACGCGGCCTCCCGGCAGGTACGGAAGACAAAGCCCGGGCTTCAGCCCCGGGACCCAGGTTCCGGTCCTGGGTTCCCCTTGGCCAGGATGTGATTTCTGGGCCTGTTTCTCATCCTACGGGGTTACCACAGGGAGGACAGGGACTGCACATCACAGCCCAACAAAGCCTAGGTTCTCCTGAAACATTACACATTTGACAGCCCTTGAACCATCCACATCCATGAGGCGATCCGACTTCCAGGAAGAAAAGGGCAGGCCCGCGACTGCTGGCGTGGGTCCTGGTCACAGGTGAGAGGCTCTTCCTGCATGATGAGCCCCAAGGCAGCTCCCCGCCGGCCCCCTCCCAAGAGCTGCCATTCAGCAACACGACGGGATTGGAAATCATTTTCTGGTCTTTTGGCCAAATTCAAGCATTGAATCTATCCCTAACTATTTAAAACCTGGTAACTCCTGAACTGGGCTTCCATCCACACTGTCGGAAATTAAGGATGAGAACCACAACTTATTCCTAAGCACCCATCAGAATCAATTTATTATGTCATCCTTTATGAAATAGGAGAACATGAATGAGAAAGAAGTAGAAGCAATTTTTTGTAAAAGCCCATTGAACTGTAACAGGAAGAACTGGGAATCGAAGAACCAAAACTGAAATTCAAGAATTACCGTAATACAGTTGTGCTTGGGTTACACTGCTCATTTTTATTTCTTAAAAGTTCAATTATAAACATTGTTAAACAAAAGCATGTAAGGCTTAAAAGGAAAACAGCCACCCCCCACCTCTCCACGTCCCACCTCGGAGTCCCACTACCCGAAAAAACCAACTTTTGATGCTACTTCCTCCTTCTGTTCTTCACTTCCATGTTTC